CCCGTCTGACTGCGAACTGCGTATGCGCCTCCCCCGCCGATGCGGGCTGTCCGCCACCGCCCAGGCGGACTCAAACTGCGAACATTTGCTCGCCCTTCACCAGCAGCAGCGCCCGTCCGCCAGTAGCACCTCCACGCTCACGATAGCCTAGCGTCAGCCGTCCCTTGCTCATCGAAGACTTTGCCGGTATCAACCCCACCATGCTGTGCGCTTGCCCCTCGAATTCCGTCAGCAACTCGCCAAGATACATCAGCCCGCCGCACTCCGCGTATATCTTTGTTCCCGCTGTGTGAGCGGCGCAGATTGATCGTTTCATGTCCTCATTGACAGCGAGTTCGCGCGCGAAAAGCTCCGGGAACCCCCCGCCGATGTATATCCCCCCCACGCCCTCCGGAAGTGCCGCGTCATCAAGCGGGCTGAACGGAACAATCTCAGCGCCCCAAGCCTCCAGCAGTCCAACGAGTCCTGGTAGTAGAAGTTGAACGCCTTGTCCTGCGCCACCGCTATTCGTGCCCTGCGTGGCAGCGACTCTACGGGAAACGCTGACGGTGCGACTCGCGGCGTATCCGCTTGCCGCGCGACCTCGAGCAGGCGGTCAATATCTATCGTCTGCTCCACCTGTTCAGTGAGTTTATCGAACCACTCTTCGACGACCACGCCCTCGATGGTCGGGATAAGCCCAAGATGGCGCTCAGGCACGCGCACATCGTCGCGTCTCGGCATGTAGCCCAGCACCGGCAGTCCTGTCGCGTCCTCTGATGGCGGTTTGCAGAACTCTAGGTGGCGCGGACTGCCCACTCCGTTCAGGATTACGCCCGCAATGTTCACTGATGGGTCAAACTGCTGGAAGCCCAGCACCTCGGCGGCGATGCTGCGCGCCACTCTTGCCGCGCTTGCAATCAGCACCACCGGCGCGCGCAGCAGCTTGGCGACCTCAGCGGTTGATCCCTGCTCAGTAAGGTTCGCGTGCCCGTCGTAAAGCCCCATCACGCCCTCCACAACCGCCACATCCGCGGATCGCGCTGCTCTGCCGTAGAACTCCAGCACCGTGTCGTGCGACAGCAGCCATGTGTCCAAGTTGCGGCTCGGCACGCCACACGCCATCAGATGATAGGAAGGGTCGATGTAGTCAGGCCCGCACTTGAACGGCTGCACGCGCAGTCCGCGCCGCGCCAGCGCCCCCATAATGCCGGTGGCAATGGTCGTCTTGCCCACGCCGCTGCGCGTGCCCGCAAGCACGAAGGCGGGTGTCATGACAGTACCCTCATCCAGTCTATCCTTGCGAATTCATGTAGCCGCGCGGCGTAACCATGCGACCGCCGTTAATATACGTCGTGGAATTGCCGATAATCAGCGTGGTGAACATATCTATGCTGTCGAAGTGCAATTCAAGCTCGCCAAGCGTGGTCAGCATAGCCTTTTCGTCAGGGCGGCATGCGTTTCGCACGATGCCGACAGGAGTATCGGCGCTGCGATGCTCCAAGACGATGCTGCGCGCCTCCACAATCTGCCTACGCCGCCGCTTGCTGCGCGGGTTGTACAGCGCAATCACGAAGTCGCCATACGCCGCCGCGTCCAGCCGTTGCGTATCGTCTCCCACGGTGTCATCAGGTCGCTCAGGCTAATCGCGCAGAAGTCTTGCATCAGCGGCGCGCCCAGCACGGATGCCGCAGCCTGCGCCGCAGACACCGCGGGCACAACCTCGACTTTCGGATGCTCACCGTCCCAGCCATTTGCGGCAAGATGCTCGAACACAGGTCCCGCCATGCCATACACGCCGATGTCGCCGGACGAAATGACGCCAACCGACATGCCAGCGCTTGCAAGTTCGGCAGCTTTGGCGGCGCGCTCCATCTCCTTGCCCAGTGGCATTGAGACGACCTGCTTGCCTTCCACAAGGTCGCGCACCTGCTCTATATAGCCGTCATAGCCCACCACGACATCGCAGCGCTCCAGGGCACCCGCAGCGGCAGGCGTCAGTAGTGCGCGGTCTCCCGGCCCCAGCCCAATGAGGTGGATCTTGCCTCCACTCATAAACATCCCTTCCGAGTCCTGTTCCCGTTCGTGATAAGCCTGTCAAACCACAACATCCTATCAGCCCTCATCCAGCTCACCCGATTCATAAGCGGCGGTGCGAGCATCTAAATCTTCGCGCGTAACCATGCCTTGGTCGAGCAGTAGCCTCTCAAGCGATGCCAGCCAGCGTTCATAATACAGGGACGCGTCTTCATCTCGCGGCGCGGACGCAATCTCCTCGGCAAGTCTGCCCTGAAACTCGCCCCACTCGTATGCACCGCCCTCGTTCAGCGCAACCGCAATCCCAAATGCTCGTCCCTCCCACGGTGCGGCGAACACCAACTCGCCGTTGCTGCGCGGCAGGGCAAGCTCCCCCTGCATATCCGCAATCTGACCGCTCGGCTCTGTGCTCATATCGCCCGTCCTAAGCCGTCGGCATCGGCGTCTTGACTTGCGCCACGCCAATCATGCTGTCCCGCGTTACCAGCGCAGCAAGCGCATCCGCATCCATATTCTTCGTGTCCTCTGGTCGCTCCGGCAATACCATATATCGAATATCCGAGTTGCTGTCCCACACACGCACCTCCACCGATTCATCCAGCGCCAGCCCGAACTCCTGCAGCACGGCTCGCGGCTCTATGACCACCCTCGCCCTGTAAGCATCCGACTTGTACCAGCGCGGCGGCAGGCCCAGCACGGGCCAGGGGTAGCAAGAGCAAAGCGTGCATACGACCACATTGTGAACCGTCGGTGTGTTCTCCAGCACGATAATCTCCGCACCCTGCGCGCCGAAGAAACCCAGTTCTGCGATCGCCGCCGTCCCGTCCTCCAGCAGACGCCTTTTGTATTCCGCGTCCGTCCAAGCGCGCACCACTACCTTCGCGCCGTTCAACGGCCCGATGTCCTGCTCATATGCTTGCACCCGCACGTCTATCGCATCGGTCGAAAGCAAGCCCTTCTCTATAAGCAATGACTCTATTGCCTTAGTTCGCAGCGCAGCGTAAGACTGCGGCTCAGGATGATGCTCACCGTTATGGTCATGATTCCCGCTCATTGCTGCTCTCCCTATGCTCTTCCTATGCTGTGCCTACCCCGCCGCTTCCATCCAGCATTCCCACATGTCAATGTAGAGACTCTGATTCGCCTCTGCATTCTCGCCCCACAGCTCGCTCGCCTCGAAACATCACGCTGTATACATGCTGAGGGCTATTGTCCGCTATCGTAGGCTCGTCCTGAAACCCCTGCGCGCCGTATATTCGCGTAATGACGCCGCGCTTCCCTCGCACATATCGACGGCAGGCGCGTATGCCCGACAGGATGAATGTTACGCACCACAATTGCGTCGCCAACGGCAAAGCGCGAAGGCGATGCGGCCTGCTGTTCGAGAGGCTGTGGCTGAAAGATGCGCCGCCGCACACGCTCCGCAAGTCCTGCATCGTTTCGCCGCGCCACTTCGGCGGACGGGTCATCGCTGAATTGGCGAGTCCTAGCATCCAACTCCTCTGCTGTTAGCAAGCCCTTGTTCAGCAGCGCCGCCTCCAGCGCGAGCATCCACTTCTCGTAGTAGCTTGATGCAAGATAGTGCGCCGGCGGGATGTTCTCGATATAGTGGCGCGAGCCATACGGTCCATAGACATCGTGCTCCTCGCGGATGCCCGGTAACTATGCCATACACGCGCCCTTCCCAGTCTTCGTGGAACACCGGCTCGTCTGCCTCGATTTCAATGGGCCCGAAACCGTGCATCCCGCCCATATCGTGTACGCCGTTCATATCAGCAACCCTTTCACTTTCGCTTAAGGCAACTATCGCTTCCACACCAGCATTATCGCCCATACCCTGCATTCTACTCAACCGCACAAGCCTCAGTCCCCAGGTACTGCCGAACTTTCGGCCACGACCTTCCGCGGCGGAGGCGTAGCCAGCATCAGCAGTGCCGAGCACACCATCAGGCCAACACCCACCCACCATATGCTGCTATAAGAGTCCTGTCCACTCGTGCGCATAGCCGGCGATGGGCGCGCCGATACCACCCACAATGAGGTTATTGGCATGGCGAACCGCGAATCGCTCCCACACGCTCGCGCCCGAAGTAGTCAGCCCAAATGAAGTTCTGCAAGAACATCATGCCGCCAATGCCCAGGCCGAATATCGCCATCGAGCTGAACATGGTGAAATCATCCGCTGCGTATATAGTCATGACGCTTGCGACCGCCAGCAGAGAAAACCCAACGGCTCCGAGCAGACGTACAGGGATGCGCGCGACCAGAATGCCGAATGTGAACGAGGACGCTCCCGCGCATACCGCGTCGAATGCAGTGGCGTAAGCAATCAGTGTCGTGTCGAAGCCCCGGTCTGCAAAATCCGCGATGCGATGCACGCCCACCGTACCTGTCGCGAGCGAGACCATGCTGAACACGGCTACGAGGGTCCAGAAGACGGGTGAGTGTGTCGCCTCCGACACCGTCCACGACACCTCATCTTGTGCACGCCGCACCGGCTGCGATTCGCCCCCTTCATCGCTCGCGGGCTCATGGATGGGATCGCCGTCTGGCAGCAGCCCCATGTCCTCCGGCTGTCGCCTGACGAATATGGCTGCGAGAGGAGCGATGACGCCCACGCCCAGCGCCGCCAGCACTATCCACGCGGTCTTCCATCCCCACATGTCGATGAATATCTGTGTCAGAGGCACAAAGACCATAGCGCCGAGTGGTATGCCCAGCGCCATGTATGATATTGCCCTGCCGCGCTCGCGCACGAACCACTTGAGCACAGGCACCGAAGTCACCAGCGCGCCCGGTCCGCTCAAGCCCACCAGTCCCATTATTCCGAACAGGGCTACCATCATCCACGCGTCGTTCGCGTCATTCATAAATGCGAGCCCGACCATCGCACAGCCGGTACGATGACGGCGACTGGCAGCATAACGCGCGAGCCGTAGCGGTCTATGAGCCAGCCAACTGCCGGGCTGGTGAACGAACTGGACACCTGCCGTGAAGTCTGCGCCCATCCGAACCACGAGCGCCCTATGCCCAGCGTGTCGCCCATCGGCTTGATGAACAAGCCAAAATTGAGCGAACCCATCGCCATACTCACCGCGCCCGACATCGCCATCACGAACACGATGACCCAACCGTAATACAGCCCCTCCTTCATGCCGTCGTCTGTCGTGCTTCTGCTCTTTCTGATGCTTCGCACCTCCGGCGAGTCGTCTCGGCATGCCTTGCCGCCCGCTGCGTTCTCTATTGTGGAATATATACCTTGTCTATTCTTGGTCTGGTCGAACGATGTGCGCTACGACGACTTTGCCTAAATCTCTGCCTTTACTGGCAATGCCGTTATGTTATAATCGCGCCAATCCTGATAATGCCGAAAACTGCCTTCCTTGACTAGCGCAGAATGCCAGCCACGGACGGCTTTTCCAGTGACGTGGCGGATTTCGCACTCACATTAGCATAGATTAGCAGACATTTACACATAGCCGCACAAGGAGGCGATCACCATGGTTGTGGAGACTAAGAGAGACCTTGAAATGATGGCGCACCTGATGCGACGAGCAGGGTTCGGCGCAACCCGCTCCCAGCTTGAGGCACTTGAAGAGAAGGGCTACGACGCCGTGGTCGATGAATTGCTCAACGCCCCCGAAAACGCCCCATGGCTGGGCGATTACATGGTGCGCCGCTTCCATCACGAGCAGTCCGGCATGATGGGCCCCCGGGCATCCGGTGAGAACTGGCTTTACCGTATGGTTACCTCGGAAGCGCAACTTCAGGAAAAGATGTGCCTCTTCTGGCACGGCATCTTCGCTACCGGTTACCCGAAGGTCATCCATGGCAAGGTCCTCTGGAACCAGATTCGCATGTTCCGCAAGCACGGCCTGGGCAACTTCAAGGACATGCTGGTCGAACTGTCCAAAGACCCGGCGATGATTGTCTGGCTGGACAACTACGACAACCACAACGGCGCAATCAACGAGAACTACGGACGCGAACTGCTGGAACTATTCAGCCTGGGCGTGGGCCACTACTCGGAGGACGACATACAGGAAGCCTCGCGCGCCTTTACTGGTTGGACGATTGGAAACACCGAGTATATGGTGCTGCGCTCCGAGCGTGACTCCGACTGGCCCTATGGCAGGATTTCATGGCACTTCGACTACCGTCCCGAAGACCACGACGAAGGTGAGAAGACCTTCCTCGGACAGACAGGCAACTTCAATGGCGAGGACATCGTTGAGATTATCTGCCAGCAGGAGGCTACAGCGCAGTTCATCGCGCGCCACATGTACCACTTCTTCGTCGCCGACGAGCCGCCCGTACCCGCCTGGCCATACACGCCGCCGCGCGACGCCGAGGCGATTGACACGCTGGTAAAGGCATACTATGACGGCGGCTACGACATTCAAGAGATGCTGCGCGCACTCTTCACATCCGATTTCTTCAAGGACGAGAGCATTCGATACGAAAAGGTGAAAAGTCCCGCCGAACTCGTGGCGGGCGTCCTGCGGCTCACGGGCGAATTCGACAGGCCGCGCCGCGAAATCATGGACAGGGCATTGCAGATGACCTTCATGGGGCAGATGCTCAACAACCCTCCCAGTGTGGAAGGCTGGCATCAGGGCATGGAATGGGTGGATACCGGCACTCTTGTCGAGCGCATAAACTTCGCATCCGAGCAGTTCGGCGATGCGAACAAGCCCGGCGTAAGAGCCATGATTGACGGCGTTATGGCGGACGAATACGCAACCTCGCCTGCGCGCATCGTTGACACATGCCTGGATCAGCTTGGCGTCATCGAAGTTTCCGATGAGACGCGCGAGGTGCTGGAGCGATTCGCCGAGCAGACGGGCGAAGAGCGCACCCGCGACAAGGTCGCCAACATCCTGCGCCTCACCACCGCCACTCAGGAGTTTCAGCGCAATTAACGAATCTTCGGTTATCGGTGATCAGTCGGTGTTGTTCTAATAATCTGCATTCGCTGATTGCCGATAACTGTCCGCTTAAAACTTGAGGTTGAGCAATGACTACAACTACAACAACCAAACTACTGCGATACGACCGCACCCTTGGCCTGTCCGTGATGGAAGGCCGTGGCTTCTACTACCCGGCAGACACGGTAGTAGGCGATAACGGACGCCTGTACGTCGTCAACCGCTCGCTCGAAAGCGTTGACCGGGGCGTGCGCGTAACCGTGTGCGACATAGACAGCGAATACTACGGCACATTCGGCGCTTACGGCGAAGGTGATGGGCAGTTCGTCTGGCTGACTTCGGGTGCGAAGGACAGCGAAGGGAACATCTTTCTCAGCGATGAGTACCTGCACCGGATAACCGCCTTCGACGCCGATGGAAACTTCCTGCGCGTCTGGGGAACACACGGCAGCAATGAGGGAGAACTCGACGGACCCTGCGGCATCGCCTTCGACGCAGACGACAACCTCTATGTCAGCGACACCTACAACAACCGTGTGCAGAAATTCTCGCCCACCGGCGTCTTTCTTGCCGCAGTAGGAGTAGGCACGCTATCGATGCCCTGGGGGTAACCGTCGCGCCGAGCGGAGATATATATGTTGCCGATTGGGGCAACGACCGCATCGCCCGCTTCACCTCGGATGGCGAGTTCGAGGCGTCCTATGGAGAGCCGGGACGAGGCGAGGGCCAACTCGTCAAGCCCGCCAGCGTCGCCGTGGACACCAGCGGAAATGTGTACGTCGCAGACTGGGGCAACGAGCGCGTGCAGGCGTTCGACGACGAGGGCAACTTCGTCCAGCTTCTGCGCGGCGAGGCAACTCTTTCCCCTTGGGCAGTCAACTTCCTGAGCATCAACAGCGAGGAAGGCGAAGCGCGCTCTAGGGCAGACCTTGAGCGCAACATAGACTTCTTCGACCCCGACGATCCGCACGAGGTATCCTCGCACATCGAGAAATACTTCTGGGCGCCCATGTCCGTAACGCTTGACGGCAAAGGCCGTCTCTTCGTAACCGAAAGCAACCGCCACCGCATACAGGTGTATCATCTCATTTAGCGGAGACACTACAATGGGACTGGTTGAACTAATAGATCAAACCCCTTGGCGCGAGGCGGTCACATACCGCGACACATGGCCGCACGAGTATGTCGTCATCAAGAAGGACCAGCATGAAGAACTGTTTGACGCCGTGTGCAAGCGATTCTGCGCCGGCGAAGGCGTTGACGGTAAATTCTTCAGCATGAAGAACAGATACCTGTTCATCGGCGACTACAAGTATTGGCTGATGACTCCCTGCACCGAGATAGACCTCACCAAGGACGACTACGTCCTCAACCGCGCCCCAATCTACCGAGACCGCCGCGACTTCCTGATTATGGACGGCGACAACGGCAAGCGCGACAGCGAGATTGACGGCATCTTCAGTATCACGCCCATCGACTATTACAAAATGAGGTTGACTTTTATGCCAGAACTGGCAAAACTTGAAAGCGTAAGTGTGCGCACCGTATGGGAACATGAGGCGGTCGATTTCACTCCGTGGCTTGCCAAGAACATCACGCAGTTGGGCGAAGCTCTGAACATGGACCTCGAAGTGATTCAGCAGGAGGCGCAGACTGGGGACTTCTATCTAGACATTCTCGCAAGAGACAGATCTACCGGCGCGATAGTAGCCATAGAGAATCAGCTCGAGTGGACTGACCACAGCCACTTGGGGCAGATACTCACATATGCCGGGGGACATGATGCTCGCGTCCTGATATGGGTAACACCTGGATTTAGAGACGAGCACCGCGCAGCTTTAGATTGGCTGAATCGCTGGACGCCTGATGAAATTGAAGTCTATGGAGTCGAAGTCCGCACGGTGAAAATCGCCAAATCTCCCGTTGCGGCAGAATTCGTGCCTGTTGCCTTCCCTAACGCTTGGTCAAAGCGAGGAAGTCGATCACAAGGTGGACCAAGCCAACGCAATCTCCAATCGCGCGATTTCTTCCAACCCCTAATCGACGATCTGCACGCAAGAGGTTTCACCGACAGACGCAGAGCCTTGGCCAGGCAAGACCATCCCTTTCCCTCTGAAGCGTCCGGCATAACCTATCACGCCAGTCTCTGGAATAACGACAAGGCTTGGGTTTATATATCAGCGCCTCAGAGAATAAAGAATCAAATTTTTGACAGGTTGCGTGAAGACAGTGACGAAATAGAAAACCTGTTGGATTTAGAAAGCAACTCGGATGCAGAAATGGTCTGGAGAACAGACGCACGAAATATCGCTGTTTCAAGATACGGATCTCTGGACGACGAGAAAAGGCACGATGAGATAAGAAAATGGATGTTCCACTATCTCATCAAATTCAAAGAAGTCTTCAACCCGCGCATGGAAAAGATTATCACCGAGTTGGAAAATGGCAACGAATAGCATGCTTCACACGGCAGCGAAGTGCGAAGGCCACCACTTGACGAAACCCCTAAAGTAAGCGAATATACCAGTAATGTAAAAGAGCAGGGCATCTATATCCTTATAGGAGAAGTATTATGGGGACTAATGGCAACGGTCATCACGACAAGACGGTGGTAGTCTTGCAGCTTTCGGGCGGCAACGATGCCCTGAACACGGTCATTCCGTATAACGACGGGCAGTATTACGACAACAGGCCCTTCGTCAACATCCCGCAGGACAAGGTGCTTAAGCTTGACGACAAGCTCGGCCTTAATCCCGCGCTCGCTCCCATCAAGGAGCTTTGGGATGATGGCAAAGTCGCGCTCATCAATGGCGTCGGCTACCCGAGCCCCAACCGCTCGCACTTCCGTTCCATGGATGTGTGGCACACCGCCGAAAGCGAGCAGGTCGGCGACGAAGGCTGGCTTGGCAGGGCAATCCGAGAGCTGGACCCGAAGGCAGAGAATGTGCTCACCGGCGTCAACTTCGGTCGAGGCCTTCCGCGCGCGCTGTATGGTAAAGGGCGTGCCGGTCGCTTCGGTCGGCAATCTTGAAACATACGGACTGTTCCCCGACATCAAGGACGAGGCGGCGCGCAACCTCGCGCTTGAAGCCTTCACGCAGATGTACGGTGGCAGCGGGCGCGATATCATCGCCAACTTCATCTCGCAGACGGGCACGGACGCACTCAAGGGCGCGGACGTACTGCGAGTCGCCCCGCAGCGCTACTCCTCCAGCATCGAGTACGCTGACAATCCCCATCGCCGTAAACATGAAGTCCATCGCGCAGGTGATGACCGCGGGCCTCGGCACGCGCGTCTATTACACGCAGCATGGCAGCTTCGACACCCACGCATCCGAGCTGACCAGTCATGCCAAGCTCTGGCAGGATGTGTCCGGCGCAGTCAGCGACTTCATGGATGACATGAAAGAGCACGACATGGACAAGGACGTCGTGGTGCTGCTCTTCTCCGAGTTCGGCAGGCGCATCAAGGACAACGGCGCTGGCACCGACCACGGCTCAGGAGGCATCTCGTTCGTGATTGGCGGCGATGTCAACGGCGGCATGTACGGCGACTTCCCGTCGCTCGATGACGACAAGCAGTCGGAAGGCGACATGCACTTCACCAACGACTTCCGCAGCACCTACTCGACCATCGCGGACCGCTGGCTTGGCCTCGATCCAGTCCAGACCACTAACGGCCTGTACGAGCAGTTCGACTTCGTCTCGAAGTAACCTCTACTCCACATAGACAGATTGGGGATGACCGCTCATTGGCGGCCATCCCCATTTCTTTGGTCCTTATAAACCGCACAGAACGGTTGCCAGACTACGAAACCACAGGCCTCTTGTCCGCCCACGGCATCGCGCGCTCAAACGCTGCAGACGCCGCTATGACCGTCGCCTCGTCGCCCTTGCGCCCCACGATGTGTCAAGGCCGACAGGCATGCCGTCCGATGAGAAACCGCATGGCACGCTTGCGGCGGGATGCCCGATAGTATTGATGGGGTGCGTGAACGGCACGAAGCTCCAGCCCTTGCGATTGGCATTCGCCTTGCCGCCTATTACGTGCGGGTACTCCTGCACCGGGAACGCAGTTGTCGCCATCGTAGGGGAGAGCACAGATCGTAGTCGTCGAATACATCGGCGAACTGGTTCATCATGCGATCGCGCGCGCCCATAGCCTTGATGAAATCGCCCGCGCTGTACTCCTTGCCGTCCTCGATAGCCATCCGCCCGTACCAAGTCAACGGATCGGAGGGATCATCCAGCAAATGCCCCTGCGTGACGAATACATTGGCGCAGAAGAACACCCACCATGTCTCAAACGGGCTTTCCAGCGCCAGATTGCTATCCTCCACCGTGCAACCCAAGCCCTCGAACACTCGCGCCGCGCTCGCACTCACCTCGACGACTTCCGCGTCAACGCCCGCATAGCCGTAATCCGGACTCCACGCGATACGCAGCCCACTGATGCCCGCATCCAGCGCGCCAACGAAGTCGGGCACGGGTGCGCGCAGCGATGACGAATCGCGCGGGTCGTAGCCCGCCAGCGCCTGAAGCAGTATCGCCGAGTCTTTGACCGTGCGCGACATCGGACCCTGCTGGCTGGTGATATTCACCAGCGGCGCTGCCGGTGGAACACCGCTGAAGCTGGAGACGCGCCCCTGGGTGGGCTTGATGCCGTAGATGCCGCAGAAGCTGGCAGGTATGCGTATCGAGCCGCCGCCGTCGCCCCCCGTGCCTAGCGAGCAAAGCCCGGCTGCAACCGACGCGCCCGCGCCGCCGCTGGACGCCCCCGATGTGCGCTCCGTGTTCCATGGGTTGCGACAGTCGTCACCTAGGCGGTTCTCGTTCGCGCCAAGCAAGCCGAATTCCGGCGTATTCGTCTTGCCCAGTATGATTGCGCCTGTCCCTTTCACGCGCTCCACCACGGCAGAGTCCGCGGCGGGTACATTGTCCTTGTAGGCGAGCGAACCCAGTGTCGCCCGCACACCCTTCATCATCTGCAAGTCCTTGATGGATATGGGAACGCCGTGCAGCGAACCGAGCGCATCGCCGCGCATCACGGCCTCCTCAGCAGCCCGCGCCGATTCCATTGCCTCGTCCTTCGTCAGTGTGAGGTACGAATTCAGCTGCGAATCAAGTCGTTCAATTCGATCATAGTAGAGCTGAGTGACTTCAACAGGCGACACCTGCTTGCCAGCAATCAGCGCGGCAAGTTCATGTGATGGTACGAAAGCGAGATTTTCATCGATGTTTGGCATAGTACAACTCCTTGATACGGATAGGATGTCACGCTATCTTACCCTATCAACTCGATATGGTTAAGACACCGTCGGCCTCTTGTCCGCCCACGGCATCGCGCGCTCGAATGCCGCCGACGCTGCGAGCACCGTCTCCTCGTCTCCCATGCGTCCCACAATATGCAAGCCAATGGGCATGCCATCCGACGAAAAGCCGCACGGTACGCTCGCCGCAGTATGCCCGATGGCGTTGATTGGGTATGTGAACGGCAGGTAGCCGAAGAAGGGGTCAACTTCCTGCCCGCCAATGGTCGTGGGATGCTGCTCTATCTCGAACGCGGGTACCGCCATCGTTGGCGACAGCAGCAGGTCGTGGCTCTCGAAGAAGGCATCAAACTGCGCCTTCAACCCGACTATCGCGCCAAGCGCTCTGGCGTAATCGGCGGCGGTAAGTGTCGCCCCATGCTCCATCGCCTCGCGGAAGTAGTCCGTCAGCTCGTCAGGCCGTTCGTGCAGCAGGTAGCCCGAGGAGGCGTATGTGTTTGACGCGAATATTACGCGGAACGGCTCTTGCGGCGATTCGATAGCGAAGCCGCCATCGCTGACCGAGCAGCCCATACCCTCAAACACTCGCGCCGCGCTGCTGCACAAATCCACGACTTCTGGATCAACGGCAGCGTATCCGAAATCGGGGCTCCACCCAATTGTCAAGCCGCTGATGTCGCGGTCAAGCGCGGCAAGGTAGTCCCCCGGCGTATCACGCAGTGACCCCGGGTCCCTCGCATCCCAACCGGCTAGTTCCTGCAGCAGGATTGCAGCATCGCGCACCGTGCGCGTGATGGGCCCCGACTGCCCAAGCTGATTTACGATTATAGGAGCGCTACGTCCAGCATACCGAGGCACGCGACCCTGCGTCGGCTTGATACCGTATAGCCCACAGAAGCTGGCGGGTATGCGAATGGACCCGCCCCCGTCGCTGCCGGTCGATATGGCGGATAGCCCCGCAGCCAATCCTGCAGCCGCGCCACCGCTCGATCCTCCCGGCGTACGTGCCGTATTCCACGGATTGCGGCACGGCTCGCCGAGCAGGTTCTCCGTCGTGCCCCTGTGCCCGAACTCCGGAGTGTTCGTCTTGCCCAATATGATTGCGCCCGCAGCCTTGACGCGCTCCACCACAATCGAGTCCTCATCGGGGATGCGGTCTTTGAACGGGAGCGAGCCACTCGTGGAGCGGATGCCCTTCGACATTTCCAGGTCCTTGATGGATATTGGAATGCCGTGCAGCGCGCCAAGCGCATCGCCGCGCATCACGGCATCCTCGGCGTCGCTTGCAGCCTGCATCGCCTCGTCTCGGCATAGCGTAAGGTAGGCGTTGAGTTGCGAGTCAAGCCTGTCAATGCGGTCGTAGTACAAAGCTGTCAACTCTACGGGCGACACTTGCTTGTCGCCGATGAGCGCGCGAAGTTCAGATGCGGGTGCGAAGGCAAGGTTCTCGTCTATGCTAGGCATGATTTCGTTCTCCTGCGGTCTTCTACTGAAATTGTTGCCGACTAATAGTGTTGGTCGAGAAGAATTATGTTGCCATCGGGATCTTTCAGCGAAGCGCTGCATGGCCCGGACGTCGTCATATCAGCCTCATAGTCAAACTCAACGCTTTGTTCCTTCAGACTCGCCTGAATTGGGCGAAGGTCTTTTGGGTTGAAGGTCAGGATGTTCACATCGAACATACCTTGAAACAGGCCGATTGTCGCGCTTTCATTTTGAAGAATCCGCCACTTCTCTGTCTCGGAGTCCGCAAACGCCTCGTTCAGATGACCTCCATCTATAACTTTGAAGCCGAACTTCTCGTAAAAGTCCAGAGACTTCTCCATATCCCTAACCGCCAGGCTAACCGAAAAAGTTCCAAGTTCCAATTCTGCATCCCTTCTGTGTGTGTTCAGACGCTCTGCACACCGTGAAAGCACCGCGCCTAAGACCTGTGCGCGAACACTGCCCCAAGTTCCCCGTCCAATGCCCTTGTAGGCGAACCCATATTCATGCAAATCGCGGGGATTCAAGGCATTTCCTGCCAACGAATAAGAGCCTGGGCCGTCCTGTCAAGTCGGCAATTTCCCGCGAAGTTGGCGTCAACTATATCATCCCACTCGGTCATCAGCACAAGGCCTTGCGCGTCCTCAACACGCGTCATTATGTCATCGCTAATCCACGCACCCGAATGAGTTCAATAGACTGCGCCTCGCGCTCATCGCCGGCGTTCGGATTTAATGCCAGACTCTGAAATTCTGCATCGCAATCAGGTGTTATGAAGCGAATCCTGCCCTCGCGCCGCGAGTAGATCATTAGGCTCGACAAATCTGGCTCGCAACTCACTTGCCGGATTCTATGCCTCCGTCGCCTGTTTACCGACAGCCTACTTGATGAGAATACTTGCCTATGATGACTAATACACCTATGCTTTTGCGGCAGTTTGTCAGATAATGAATAATGACTTAACGCAAAGTCATTATTTTACCCATCTTCGATCGACGGCCTGTTCAACTGCGCGAGTTACATTAGGGATCGTTTGAGCTTTCCCGACACGATAGGAGTGCGGCTTATCTATACGCCCAATGCAGATTTGGCAAAAGAGAATCAGCCATCGCCGGATAAGATCCGCGACCTTGTTGTAGTTGCCCATCGCGGCGGCAGGTTCGATGAGCCAAACACCCTTATCAACTTCAAGAAGGCAATCAACTATGCTCAGCTGAACCCGGACATAAGATGCATGATCGAGCTGGATGTGCACCAGTGCAAAGCTGGCCCTGGGAGCGAATCCGGCGAACTTGTGGTCATACACGACGGCTCTGTAAACGCCACCACATTTGGCAAAGGCAGAGTGCGCGACTTTACCCTGAAGAAGCTGCAACAACTAAGGATCAAGCCGTCAGGTTGCGAAAAAAGTCCTTCAGAGTTCACTGATGTCGAACGCGGCTCTGGCATCCTGCTTCTTCCGGTGCGCGAAGAAGATCTGAGGATTCCCTCCCTTCAAGAAGTCCTTGACCTTGTCGATAGAGTGAACGAGTCTCGCCTTCTAAGCGGGGTTCCACTGATCGGTGTGGGAGTTGACTTCACCCACGCTGCAAGCAAGATAGGCTTATTCAAGGATCATCTCCTGCATCCTTTGCTCGAACAAGTGAGACCCGGGAGCCAGCTCAATAAGGTCTTGCCACCCCAATCCCTGCTCAACCGGCTTGCGTACGAGATATGCTCGCGCAACGGCCCGACGCCCATTCAGGTCATATCGCAGGGCATACACGGGCGCCGAAACCTATGCATGCTGATGGAGATTATGGAAAAGTCCGAAGACGACCTCAGCATAGCGTTCCAGGCTTCCACGTCGCTGTTCCCCGCAGACAGCAAGGACATAAAGACAACGCTTGGAATGGGAGATGAAAAGTTACGCAGTTTGATACAAGACAAGCGCTTCACCATCAACTACAACCACAGGTGGGATCGGCTCGCCCACAACCTCCAGCGTTTCACCGGATTCAACATTCGCAACCCCTATGCTCTATTGCCCGGCAAGTTCGCAGTATCCAATAGAGAGGCAATGGCAAAGGCTCAAGCGGAAGGCATCCTGACCGGCTTCTGGACTGTGAATAACTCAGACGCTATCAGGAATGTCATAGTCTGGGGAGCTGATATGGTAACCACCGATTACCCGCAGCGCGCCGCGGCAATAATCCGTGAACTCTCACATCATGACTCCATGACCCGCGCGGAAGTCCTCACCCCTTCCCCAGCCGTATCCTCAGCCGCGATTTTCGCTTCTGACTAGATGGGTTGCACCCATGGCTGATGCGTCAGCCGGCAATGTTTCCTTACAGATGGATGTGGTGTATCATTCCGACTTTGAGCAGGCTACCCCCAACAGACTCAGCACATAAGAAGCCTGCGCTATCGCCCACCTGAGCGGGAAGATTCGCTCTCAGAAACAGATATACGGACATGTCTGCGAAAATCCTCATCGTAACTGACGCTTGGCATCCGCAAGTCAACGGTGTTGTGCGCACAATCGACACCATAGGAAGCCACCTATCGCGGTTCGGGACACGATGTCACGATGATTACTCCCGACCAGTTCTTCAGTGTGCCATGTCCAACATACCCGGACATTAGTCTTGGGCTTAACATCTGGCCCAAGCTGGGCAGGATGATCGACAGGCTGCAGCCGGAGTACATATTCCTTCCCACCGAAGGACCGCTCGGAGTGGCAGCCCGCTTGCACTGCAAGTCCCGCAAACTGCACTTCACCACCAACTACAACACCAAGTTTCCCCGAATACATCCGGCTGCGCTTCGGGATCCCCGAAAAGTGGACATACGGCTGGCTGCGATGGTTCCATGCTCCCGCCGACTAGCTGCTGGTAACAACCGCAACTATGCAAGATGAGCTGGCGGAGCAAGGCTTCAAGAACCTTCGCATTTGGTCGAGAGGCGTTGACGCCGACCTGTTCCGACCAAGCAGCGAACCTGTATTCGACGGGCTCGAGCGTCCAATCTGGCTATATGTGGGAAGGATAGCTGTCGAGAAAAACTTGGACGCCTTCCTCTCGATGAACATCGAAGGCACCAAGGTTCTCGTCGGCGCGGGTCCGTCATTGGGAGAGTTGAAGCGAAAGTACCCCGACGCCGTGTTCGTCGGAGAAAAGCACGGCGAAGAGCTCGCGCGGCACTACGCGGCGGCCGATGTCTTCGTATTCCCAGCAAGACAGACACATTCGGCTTGGTGATGATCGAGGCGCTCGCCAGCGGAACGCCCGTGGCGGCATACCCGGTTACAGGCCCGGTCGATGTCATCACAAGCGACAAGGTTGGCGTTCTCGACGCCGATCTCAGGCAGGCTGCTTTGGGCGCGCTCTCCCTCAGCAGTGACGACTGCCGCGAGTTCGCGCTTGGGTTCTCATGGGAAAACTGCGCCCATGCTCTTGAGCAGTATTTGGTCTCCAATCGCTGGAACTAGGCAATACTCATCCCATCGCCTACCTCTCCGTATTCTGCCCGTTTGTGATATTATCGCAACGGCATAAAACCATTAAATCAGAGAGGCTTAGTGCGATGAAAATTACCAACATCGAAACTTTTATTGTGGACGCGGGCTGGCGGCCTTGGATGTTCGTCAAAGTCGAGACCGACGAAGGTATTACCGGCTGGGGCGAGTGCAGCGACGGCCGTTCCCCACACGGCATCGAAGGCACGATACGCGACATGAAGCCGCTGCTCATAGGGCAGGACCCGCGCGCCTTCGAGATGCGCTTCCAGGACATGTACCGCATCACGCGCCAGAGTCCCGGCGGCATCGCGGCGAAGGCAATCGCGGGACTGGACTGCGCCTTCATCGACATCAAGGCAAAGGCGTTAGGCATTTCGGTCGTTGAGCTTTTCGGCGGCCCCACGCGCGAAAAGGTGCGCATCTATTGGTCCCATTGCGGTAGCTCGCGTGTGCGCCATCACGACATCCTCGGCGTGCCGCCCATAGACTCCTGGCAGTCCATAACCGACCTGGGGCATGAGGTCAAGGACCGAGGCTTCACGGCGCTGAAGACCAACATCATCCTACCCGGCGAGAACGCCACATTCGGCGGCGGCTTCAGCGGCGGCATCGGCTCCACCGACCAGATAGCCCCCAAGTGGCTCATCCCGCATGTCGAGAAGCTCATCGGCACATTCAGAGATGCAGTCGGCGACGACATCGACATCAACCTCGACCTCAACTTCCACTTCAAGACCGAAGGCGCGCTGCGAATCGCCAAGGTGCTGGAGCAGTTCGACATGCTCTGGCTCGAAATCGACATGTACGAGCCAAAGAGCCTGCGCCAGATCAAGGACTCCACGACCACGCGCATCTGCACCGGCGAGAACCTCTTCTACATGCGCGACTTCATCCCATACTTCGAGAACCACTCGGCGGACATGTTTATGATAGACGTTCCATGGAACGGCTTCAGCCAGTCCAAGAAAATTGGCGACCTAGCCGAGGTCTATCAGCACAACGTCGCGCCGCACAACTACTACAGCCACCTATCCAGCTTCGTCAGCGCGAGCCTCTGCGCCACGCTGCCGAATGTCCGCATCATGGAAATCGACATCGACGACATCCCCTGGAAGGACGACCTGACAACCACGCAGCCCGAAATCATCGACGGCTACATGACCGTCCCGAGCGGGCCAGGCTGGGGCGCCGACATCAACGAAGAAGTAGCCCTCGCCCACCCCTGGGACGAAAACAGCCTCTCCGAAGTCCAAACCCAGGGCTACAAAGTGCCGGCGCGGTAATAGCAAAACCCACAAGTTCCAGTGAAACTGAAAAGGGCGTCCACAATGGACGCCCTTTTGCATAGTTGACGTTCGTCTAATTGAGAATGGTAATCAAGATGTTGACCACTACGCCAAAGAATGTAATCGCCAGGCCAAAACCGAGCGCATACATCATCCGAGTCAGGCGAACTTCCAAGTCTTTGAGGTCGGCCTTCGTTGCCAAGCTACAAAGCAGTATTCCATTTCCCACAGCGCTCTACCCCGTATACGCGTACTTCTTCGCCATATCCTCCCGCAGTTCCGTGCCCCAGCCTGGCCCCGTCGGAATCTTCATCATTCCGTTGTTCACCTCCGGCAGCACGGTGAACAGCTCCTCGCGCCACGGTGCCTGCACCGGGTCGCTCTCGCTGATGCGAACATTGTTGATCGAGGCGCACAGGTTCATCGTCTGGAAGTTCGACAGGTGGCTGTTGTAGTTATGCGGCGCGACATTGATGTCGAACAGCTCCGCCATATTCGCCGCCCTGCGCGCCGGTATGAAGCCCTGCCACTGCACATCCAGCTTCATGAAGTCCATCGAGCGGTTTTGCAGCAGTTCGAGGTAGTTCAAAGGGCCCAACTTCTGCTCGCCCGAACATATCGGCGTGCGCGTAGCGTTCTTGACCATGCGCAGGCTCTCCGCGTCCAGGTTGTCGATCTCCATCCACATCAGGTCATACGGCTCAAGCGCCTGCCCTAGCCGTATCTGCGCCTCAGCCTTGAAGTTCACATTCACATCCAGGCATATATTGGCGTCGGGACCCGCCTCCTCGCGCATCGCCGCTAACTGCGCCACCGCTGCCTTCCTCAGATCGCGCTCCATAACCTGGTCGTGCGGACCCGCCGTCCCCTGGCCAATCGTGCGAAACGGCTCGCCCGGAATCTGGATGTTCGTCTTCACCGTGTCGTAGCCTGCATCAAGCGCCATGCGCATCAGCGCCTTGATGTCGTCGTAGTTGCGGAGCGGCTCCCTGCCCAGCGCCTTGTAGTTCGTGGACTGGAAGCTCACCAAGTGCGACCAATAAACCTTCTGCTCAGTGCGCGTTGGCCCGCCGACTAGCTCGTGAACGGGAACGCCCATCGCCTTGCCCTTGACATCCCAGAGAGCCAGTTCGATGCCCGCGATAGCCATCCATGTAGCACCGCCATACGCTGAGCGTGATGAGCGCACCATGTTCGTATAGTGCTGCTCGACGCTTCGAGGGTCCTTGCCGATGATATGGCGCGAAAGATCTTCTACAAGACCCTGCAAGCCCTTCGCCAGATCGCCCACGCCGAACTCCGAATATCCTGTGATGCCCTCGTCGGTGCGTACTGCGCAATACATCCATGGTCTGCCCAGCGACTTAACAAGAAAAGTATCGATTCCAGTAACTTTCAATTCTCTTTCTCCTTACGTTAGTTGGTCGGTTAATCGGCAAGTATATCATCGACGGCATGACGGCGAGATCAAATCGACTTCGGCAACTCACGACCGCAAGCGAAATCTCTGATAGCGTCCGCAATCGCGCCCGGCCTCTCCATGTACATGTTGTGTCCCGTGTTCTCGATTGTCAGACGATGGAAGTCTGTGATGCCGTCCGGTACTTGATGCAATTCTTCTATTTGTGTGCGATGCCTGCTGCTTCTGATGAACAGGACAGGCAAGCCCAGCTCTGCGAACACAGGCTTCAGGTCCACATGGTCGCCGTCGCGGTCCTTCCAGTTGAAGGTGTACGAAGACCACTTCATATCGTACAAGCCGTCCTCGCGCCGGTATGCCTCATGCGCCACGACATCGCGCAGCACCTCCGGGTGCCAATTCGCCGTCGCCCGATGCTGGCCCAGGTAATCGTGCAGCTCATCGCGGCTCTTCCATGTCGTGCGTACCGCATGCTCCCTGCCAGCGACCATGCGATGAAAGCGCTCGTCCACAACCACCATCGGCTCCATCAGCGCAAGCCGCGAGAACACGCCCGGATGCTTCTGCGCGCAAAGCGACATCACCACGCCGCCCGTCGAGTGCGCCACGCCTATAATATCTCGCAGACCCAGCGACTCGCAGAACGCTGCAAGATCGTCCACACGCTCCGCAAAGCGGTAGCCTTGCGGCGTCCAATCGCTATCCCCATGCCCGCGCGCGTCCAGCGCAATCACGCGATAGTCGCCCTTGAGCCTGCACGATACGGCATCCCAGCTTCGGCTTGTTCGCATGTCGCCATGGAACAGCAGCATCGTCGGTCCGTCGCCGCCCCAGTCAACATAGCGCAGATGGATGCCTTCAACTTTTACGCAATGGCTTGTTGGCACTGTCAAGAGGCCTCCTGTGTGCCGCTCATGTCGGTGAGGATTTATGTGAGTTGGTGCAGTCCATTCTTGGTGTAAAAGGCATGACACCATCGGCTCTACGCCAACGCCAACTCCTCCAGAATAGCCGGAATCCCTTCTTTTTCTTCATCGGTCAACGGGCGCAGCGGCCGCGATACCGTGTCGTCGTCAATAACGCCCATGTGCTTTAGCGCAGACTTCATGCCCGCGAAGCTCGCAGCATTCGCGCCGCCGCCCTTCGCCAGTCCTGCAATCTTCCCGGCCGCCATGATTGTGGCATTGCTCTTGCGCACGGTATCGGCGTCTCCGGCTTCGCCAGCCTCCCAGCCTGCAGCCGATGCAGCAGGAATCAGGTTCGCTATGCCGGGAATGACGCCCTGCACACCGACCGAACCTGCGGTAGTGATGCGGAACGCCGTGCCCAGGAAGCGCAGCAGCGATATACCGCCCTGTTCGCACATCAGATTTAGCTGTGCAAGCAGTTCGCCCGCGCCTGAACTGTCCTTGACACCAACGACCGCACCCTCGCCTGCGAGTGTCGCCACAGTTCCGGGCGCCACAGCAGTCTTGACCGTCTGTGGTATGTTGTACACCCAGAGCGGCGTACCAACCCGCGCGCTGATGTGTCGGTAGTGGTCAAGGATTTCGTCCTGCGCGTTCGGATAGTAGTACGGCGGCGTAACGGCGACGCCGTCCATGCCCATCTCCTGCACCTCAAGCGCCATATTGATGGATAGCTGAGTGCTAGCGCCCGACACATTGCCGATGACCGGCACGCGCCCGTTCACCTCGTCAACGACAGCGTCCATGCTCACAAGTCGCTCTTTATCCGAAAGGTTGGCGAACTCGCCCGTCGTGCCGGATACCCAGATCCCATGGACTCCGTTATCTATGAGATAGTTCACCAGTCTTCGCAGCGACGCGACATCCACGCTCTCGTCCGACTTCAGCGGCGTTAGTATGGGCACTACGACGCCTTTGATCTGCTTGTCTGCCATTTGAAACTCCTTCTTTCAGATGTTTGCCCTGTATAAGTAGTGTTTACAACATAATGAACGGAGGCCATCCTTCACCTTCCGGGACTTTCTCCAATTTCTGCGTAACTGGATTTACCTTCATCCGAAGGCTTTGCAGCAATTCGTAGCCAATTAGGGGCAGCGGGGACACTATTACTGCAGCCGGGGCGCGGTCGTCGCCTATCCGCACCGACGCGGAGTAGGTATCGCTTTCCATTACACCCAGCCCAGTCATCAATCTATACCTGCCGCCCGGAATCTTGTACAAACCAAGCGCCTCTATATCTCAAGCGGCAAGCCCACAAAATTAGAGCCTGTATCGACCAGAAACTCAAAGCGCCGGGTCCCGTTTTCACCTGTACAGACCGCCTCAATCCTAGTCGTCGTCCCTCATACGCCCTCCATCCCTTCAAAGCTTTTTCTTCTGTATTCGTGCCACGAAACCGTACGTTTCTTGTATGGTTATTATATACACTCGTTAAGCAAACAGAACGGGCCGACGCACCATATCTCGGTGTCATCGGCCCGTCCGTATTTGCCTTGGCTCGCAGCAATGAGCGGTGCTAGGCCCCGCCTCCGATGGCGGGCAGAAAATGCACCTCGCTGTTTTCGGTGCAGCGCGCTAGCAGCAGCGGCGAGTGAAGAGGGCAAACAAGAAGCGAGAGCGGAAAGGAGCGGCGTGGAGCGGTAAGAGCGCGCGATGGAGAAGACAGAGGGAGGGGAGGGAGTTGGAAGGTGGGTTACGAGAAGGTATGTGTGGGGAAGGTACAGAAGATTGTGGCTTAGGAAAAGGAGAGAGAGGGGCGGTGAGAGCACTTCTTTTTGAGTTTTCGTCACCCTCTCCAGCATCCCCAGCGTCGTAACTTCACCATCAACCGCGACGGATATGTTCGGCTTCACGCGATCGTCTTCGACAAGCCGCGCCTTAACGCCCGGATACATGCCGTCCAGGTTATTGATAATCTGGCGCACAGTGGAACCTTCCACACGCACCTGTTTTTCCCCGTCGGTCAGGCTTTGCATCAGAGAGGGTATGAATACATTTGCCATAGGACTAGCTCTGCTTCCAGGACTCCTCCATAATCGCAACGGGACTCATCGGAAGCCGCTCCATGCGGATGCCCGTCGCGCTATGGACTGCGTTGGCGATTGCCGGCGTTGGCGGCACAATGTTCGCCTCGCCCACGCCGCGCACCCCGAAGGGATGGTCGCTCGCCACTTCCACGATAACCGTGTCGATCATTGGCAGGTCGAGGCTGGTGGGCATGCGATAGTCCAGCAGCGTCGAGTTCGCCATCGTGCCGTCATCAGTCATGTAATACTCTTCGTTCAGTGCCCAGCCGATACCCTGCACGCTGCCACCCTGCATCTGTCCTTCGACATAGCTCGGGTGGATCGCCTTGCCGGCATCCTGCACGACCGTGAAGCGCGTAACTTCCGTCTTGCCCGTCTGGGGGTCAACCTCAACGTCGACGATGTTGCCCGCGAACGAACCGCCGCCTGCGCCCATGCCGCCATACCCGCCGCTGGCAGCGCCAACGATGGAACCGCCGGTGCTGGCAAGCTGCCCTGCAAAGCTCGGCGAAGCTCATGTTCAACTCAGGGTCGGATATTGACTGGAATACGCCCTCTTTCAGTTCTACCGAGTCGGCGTCCACATCCCAGATAGTAGCAGCGCGTGCAATCATCTTCTCTTTGACATCCAACGCAGCATCATAAGCGGCCCAGCCGGTGGCATATGTGGTGCGGCTGCCACCCGTTACGGCGGTGTAGCCCACCGAGTCGGTGTCCACGACCGTCGGGCGAACGCTCTCGGCAGCAATGCCCAGCACTTCTGCAGCTTGCATAGAAATAGACGCGCGGCTGCCGCCGATGTCAGTCGAGCCTTCGATCAGCGTGATAGTGCCGTCCGCGTTAACGGCGATGTTGACAGCGGAGTCGAAGCCGATATTAAACCAGTAGCCGACCGCAACGCCTCGTCCCTGGTTCTCACCAAGCGGTGCGCTGTAATGCGGGTGGTTCTTCATTGCCTCAAGTACCTCGACGCAGCCGACGCGCGGGAATACCATGCCGTCCGGCCGGCGTGTGCCCTCCGAAGCGGCGTTCTTCAAACGTAAATCGAGCGGGTCCATCCCGAGCGTTTGCGCTAACTCGTCCACCACCTGTTCGCAGGCAAATGCGGCGTTCGGTGCGCCCGGCGCCCGGTATGCCGCGGTCTTGGGCTTGTTTACGACCACATCGTAGCCGTCGATTACCGCGTTCTCTACATCGTAAACGGCGAACACGCACATCGCGCCTGCGCCCACCGGCGAACCGGCGAAAAGCACCCGCTTCGTACGCGAGGTACGCCTGCATAGCAGTGATGGTGCCGTCGTTCTTCGCACCGATCTTGACCTTCATGTTGGAGCCGCAGGTCGGGCCTGACGCCTCGAACACATCTGCGCGGCTCATAACAATCTTGACCGCCCTGCCGCTCTTCTTAGAGAGCATCCCAGCGACCGGCTCGAGGTATACGGGAATCTTGCCACCGAAGCCGCCGCCGATCTCCATCGGCGTAACGCGCACCTGAGACACAGGTAGGTGTAGCACCTCTGCGGTGGCGTCTCGCGCGGTGAACGCACCCTGCGTGCTGCACCAGATATGCAGCCTGCCGTCCGTGTTCCAGATCGCGCTTGCTGCGTGGGGCTCGATATAGCCCTGGTGCACCGTTACCGTGTCGAACTCTCGCTCAACGACGACGTCCGCATCGGCGAAGCCCTTTTCGACGTCACCTTTAACATGCTGGAAGTGCTGTGCCACATTGCTCGGCTTGTCCTCAATCGTCTCGCCAAGCTCGTTCGTCCTCATGCTCTCGTGGAGGATTGCGGCGCCCTCGGCCATGCCCTGCGGAGCGGTCATAATAGAGGGAAGCACTTCGTACTCCACATCAATGAGCTTGACCGCTTCTTCAGCCACATGGGGATTTGTCGCCGCGACTGCTGCGATTGCATGCCCCTTGTACAGCGCCTTGTGCCGAGCAAGTATGTTCGCCTGTAGGTCGTGAAGAGTGGTAACCTCTTCGCCCAGGTCCAGCGCAGCATCCTCGACCTGTGGGAAATCTGCAAAAGTTACGATGGCGAGTACGCCGGTCAGCGCCTCTGCCTTGCTTGTATCAATGGACTTGATGTTCGCGTGGGCATGGGGGCTTCGCAGGATTTTGCCGTGAAGCATCCCGGCCGTGTCGAAGTCTGCGCCGTACAGCGCGCGTCCCGTTACCTTGTCTGCGCCATCAGGTCGTACAGGTCGCGTGCCGACGACATTGAAGTCAACACTCGACAAAACTACATTGCTTTCGTATTCGACAGTCGTCATGCGCTCACCTCCTGCATCCGGGCCGCGGCATCCTGAACTGCGCGCACAATCTTGTCGTAGCCTGTGCAGCGGCACAGATTGTTCGCCAGCCAGAAGCGAATCTCGTGTTCAGTCGGGTCTGGGTTGTGGTCGAGCAGAGCCTTCGTCGCCACTATGAAGCCCGGCGTGCAAATGCCGCACTGCAGCGCAGCATTCTCAAGGTAAGCCTGCTGCACTGGATGAAGTTCACTGCCTATGGCAATGCCTTCGATGGTGGTAATGTCACTTCCCTCAGCCTCTACGCCTAGCACGAGGCAGGATGTAACGATCCTGCCGTCCATCTCAACCGTGCATGCGCCGCAGTTGCCGTCGTTGCAGCCTTCCTTGGAACCGGTCAGGCCGATGACATCACGCAGGCATTCGAGCAGGCTCTGTCGCGGCTCAGCGAGGAAGTCCACGCTATCGCCGTTTATTCTGGTCTGTACATAAGTCTTTCCGGGCATTAAGCATTCTCCTTAGCTCGGTCAATCGCAATCTGGAGCGAGCGCCTTGTGAGCACATCGCAAAGGTGCTTTCTGTATTCAATCGTGCCGCGCATGTCCGTAATGGGAATCGCAGCGTCCTTGGCAATCTGTCCCGCCTCTGCCAGAGTCTCTTCGTTGGCAGGCTTGCCTGCTATGGCATCGCCTATTGCCGAAACATAAAGCGGAGTGGGCGCAACAGCGGCGAGCGCAACGCGCGCCGACTTGATGTTGCCGTTGTCAAGCACTACGGAAGTGCCCGCGCCGGCGACCGCGATGTCCATCTCGTTGCGCGGGATGAAGCGCATGTAGTTCGCGCCAAAACCGCTTGACGGCGCCGGGAAGCTGATTGACACTAGCATCTCGCCGCGACCAAGTACATTTCTGCCAGGCCCCGTGCAGAAGTCCTCTACCGCTACATGCCGGTGACCACCGGGACCCTCTATATGGGCGACTGCGCTGTGCGCGATCATCGCCGGAATGGAGTCACCGCTGGGCGTGGCGTTGCAGAGGTTGCCGCCGAACGACGCCCTGCCCTGAATCTGCGTGCCACCGATAAGGGTTGCAGCGTCTATAAGTCCGGGGTATGCGCGCGATATCGCCGCATTGCCATACATCCTGTAGCAAGGAACAGCCGCGCCGAGAGTCAGACCCCCTTCAGGGTCGTATGTAATCTCGTTCAGCTCGGGGATGTTCTTGCCGTCCACGACGACGTTTTACGTCATCGAACCTGCCTCCCCGTAATTGGACCAGCAGGTCGGTTCCCCCTGCCAAAACTCGCGCACTACCGTCCGCGTCATTTAGCAGGTCAACCGCTTCTCTAACCGAGTGGGGACTGGCGAAATCTATCCAGTGCAATATCCCACCTCCTTTCTAATTTTTCCTCGAATTCCTTCTATTTGTTGAGTTTATAAGGGCATAATCCCACAAACGGAGTAAGTATATCAGACCTTGTTTTGTTCAACAACAATCCTGCGGTTTCAACAGCATGTTTTCTGAGTGGTGAACCAAAGTGCCTCAGCCCGTCAACAACCCCTGCGAGAGGATCGCGGTTCCTGAGTCCCCCAAGTCTCAATGCTGCTGATATTGACCGAGATGAAGCTATGGCAGACCCTAAGTCGCAAGGACAGATAGGGATGCTTGTGCTAAAATTGCTCCCGAACAAATTACTTGGCTGTGTTAGAGAAAAAGGAGACGATCATGGGCAATGGCGGCATCGTTGGCGCAGGAGTTCTCCTGATTATCATAGGGCTACTTCTATTGACAGGCATCCTGCAATTCTTGATTACAGTGGTCGGATGGATTGCCATCATTGCAGGCGTCATCGTAGGCGTCATCGGCTTGGTAAGCATGATTAAGGGCGGCAACAGAGGCTACTGAGTTTTATAGGAAACGCCCTGCGTGTGCTATGCCCGGGTGTGCTATGCCCGCGTGTGCAATGTAATCTGTTCGGTTGACACATCGCTAGACAGATTGGCAGCGCCCAATGGAAAACCGAAGACAAGAGCTAGAACGACGACGGCGCGACCTTGCCGAACGACGCATAGAGCAGGACGCCCGCCGAAAGGCGCTTGACGAACGGAAACATCTCTATCAGCAAGAGGTCCATCTGGAAGAAGAAGAGCAGCGGCTCATTGAAGAAGAAGAACGGCTGCTTCAGGAGCACGAACGGCTCGACCATCTCGAGCTTGGACTGGAATACGAAGAGAATGAGGCCGCAGGCGCGGAGGAAACTGAAGCATCCGACTCCTCTGCAATTCACGCCGTACTCGTCGCAATTGGGGCTGTCGTAATTCTCTTTGCCGCGCTCTCGTGGTTTAGCGCCTTGGGGAACATCTTTGGTATAGCCGGATTCGCTTGCCTCGTAGTTGCAATTTGGAAAGCGTTCAAGGACGAAGACCGCAGTGTTGACAACCTCAAGATATTCCTTGGTGGAATTGCTTTCTTCTGGGGAGGCGCGCTCCTGATTGCGCTATGTGGCGCAATCAGCGACATATATTCACTGGTTCTCTTAGCTTCTTGAACTTCTTGAGCCTCTTGGGGAACGGCATTCTGATAATCTCAGGTATTGCCGTATGTATATTCGGATTATCAAGTGCATTCAAGCAAAGGAGCCAGAAGGAAGTTCGTTAAGAATCGTGATATAGTTAGCGTGATAACGGACAGGCAGGCGAGTTAGAAAACGAGGTGATGTATGGGCATACTCTCCCGAATGTCAACGGTGGTGAAATCCAAAATGAACCGCATTCTCGACAATGCGGAAAACCCCAATGAAACGCTGGACTACGCCTACGAGAAGCAGATGGAAACTCTGCGGGACGTGAAGCGGGGCGTGGTGGAAATGGTAACCGCGAAACGCAGGCTTCAACTCCAGGAGTCAAAGGTGAAGGACAGCGTTGTCAAGCTCGATGGGCAGGCAAGGCAGGCGATGGCCGCAGGCCGCGAAGACCTCGCCAGACTCGCCTTGCAGCGCAAACAGGCGTCGCTTATGGAGCTTGAAGGCCTTGACACCCAGATAGCTGACTTGGAGATTGAGCAGGAGAAGCTCACCCAGGCTGAACAGCGCATGCAGGCGAAAGTCGCGGCATTCCGCACTCGCAAGGAAGTCGTCAAGGCGCAGTACAACGCGGCTCAGGCACAGGTTCGCATCGGTTCCGCGCTATCGGGCATTTCAGAGGAGATGGGCGATGTCTCCCTCGCTATCGAGCGCGCAGAGACCAAAACAGAAACCATGCGAGCCCGCGCCGGCGCAATCGACGAACTGGCCGAACTTGGTGTTCTGGACGACATCACCGGAACCAGCGGAGACCCCCTCAGCAGGGAGCTTTCTCAGTTGATGGCAGAGCAAAACGTGGAAGACGAGCTTGCCTCGCTGAAAGGCGAACTGCCGTCAGCAGAAAAGCGCGCGCTTCCCGAATCCTCATCATAGAGGTGATTCGGATGTTGAAGCCGAACTCGCTGCTTTGCGCGGCAAGCAGGATGACGCCTAGTGGAAGGTGACAACTTATGATTGTACGAATACTCACGGAGGGGCAATACAACTTGCCCGGCGCGTATATCGACGACCTGAACGCCATCGACAACGAGCTAGTGGATGTGGTCGCGGCTGAGGACGAAGAGGCGTTCGCCCGCGTCCTGAAGCAAATGCTCGATCTGGTGCGTGAGCATGGAAGCCCTGTCCCGATAGACGAACTCGTCGAGTCTGACCTCGTCCTGCCCGAGCCCGACATCACGCTGAGAGAGGCGGAGGAAATGTTCGTCGGCGAAGGCCTCGTGCCGGGGTAGATACTATGTCCCTTCCCCCTTGATGGGGGAAGGCTAGGATGGGGGTGGAAATTCTGTCCACATCTATCCCTGACGACTGGCAACTTCCTAAAATGGAATCCCCCACAGCGCGTACCAGTTCTCGAGGCTGCGCTCAACGGGCATTTTCTCCTCTTCCATAACGACGCTCAACCGCATCTCGGATGTGTTGTCCCGCGTCTGTGGGCCAGTCAGCACCATGGGGTAGAAGTTGCCGCGCTTGTAATTGTAAATCCAGTACGCTTGCTTCCCCTCGTACTCCATGCCGAACACCGCTGCGAGCAGTCTATCCGCGAACCCGTGGTCCACAACGGTTTCGCTTATCATGTGAATCGTGGTGACAAGGTCCTCGTAGTCGCGGTCGTCCAGCACTGCCCAGCGGGTGCCATAGGTATCGTCAACCACTTTGAACTGCGTTCCAGTTGAGGTCTCGCTCACGGCAAGAAGCGACCTGATCTCCTCGTCGAGATTCTCGAAGAATGACGAATCCACGGGGTTGAACACGATGCCCGCCTTGTTCGTGCGGTGCAAGTCCATCCTGCCGCTAAGTGAAATCTCCGCCGTGATAACGGAAAAAAACTCCTCCCGCCTCGGCTTCTTGAGCTTGTTCCGTCCGAACAGCATACTGAGTAAACCCACGACGGCGCCTCCAAATCAGTCCATAGTCCCTTCCCCCTTGATGGGGGAAGGGTAGGATGGGGGTGAAAATCCTGTATATCGATGTCAGTCCCTCTAGCTACTCCGCTCCATACTGCGCTGCATTTCCTGAAGTCGCTCGATCCGCTCTTCGACCTTCGGGTGGCTGGAGAACATTGTCGCTATCGCATTGCCCTTGAGCGCTGGAATGATGAAGAATGCGCTCGCGTGCTCCACTTTCCGCAGGTCCTTCTCAGGAATGCGGTACATGTCGTTGCTGATCTTCTGCAACGCGGATGCGAGCTGCAACGGCGAACCTGTTATTACTGCGCCGCCCCTGTCCGCCGCGAATTCCCGGTAGCGCGACAGCGTCATAATGAGCATCTGGCTCACGAAATAAACGATTATCGTGCCGACATAAACCGCGAGCATGATTATCATGAGCTGCCCCATATCACGCCGACCGCCGCCTCCATGCCCGCCGCCGAATCCCCCGAACAGCGTTATCCAGAACAGCATCTGCAGCAGGAACCCCGCTGCAATCACTATGACGCTGGCCCAGGTCAGTACCATCACATCCCGGTTCTTCACATGCGCCAGTTCATGACCTAGCACCGCTTCCAACTCGCGCTCGTTGAGCCGATTCAAAAGCCCTCTCGTAACGGCTATGACCGCGTTCTTCGGGTTGCGCCCAGTAGCGAACGCGTTGGGCACGTGCGTATCCATAACCGCAATCTTCTTCGGCTTCGGCATATCCGCAATCGCCACCAGCCTCTCGATTATGCCATGCAGACGCGGCTCTTCCTCTGCCGTGACCACTCGCGCCCCCGTAGTCGCAAGCACCAGCTTGTCGGACATGAAATACTGGAAGAAAGCCATCGCGACGGCGATTACCAGCACCAACTCCGGCGGTATTCCGGCGAACATAAGCAGACCGAGAAAGAACACATAGACCACCGCCAGCATCATCATCGTGATTCCCATGCGGAAGGTCAGCTCCAAGTCTCGACCATAATTCCTTTGTCTCATCTCATCCTCCTGCGTGTACCTTTCTACATTATACATAAAGTTACACTCGGGCACGCTCCGCATAGCTAAACGCCGCGCTAACACGATGGCATCAATCCTTTCCCCTTAATCGGTGAAGGCTAGAGCCTGCCCTGAGCCAGTCAAAGGGATGGGGGTGAAATCGCCATTCCGCCATTCCATAAACCGAATGAAAACGCTCCCCAACCGTATGGATAGTGTTCATCTGCAAGCGCCCACCTGATACCATGAGCGACACAACCCGAAACTCTAACAAGGCACGAGCGCAAGGCAATGGCGGCAAACTGGCAGACCATCGGACACGACAGCGCAGTCAGCACGCTCACGCGAAGCTTGGCCAGCGGGCGCATGGCGCATGCCTGGCTGTTCGCGGGCCCCCCGCGCGTCGGCAAGATGACCCTCGCGCTCGACCTGGCGCGCCTCGTGAACTGCACCGCAGATGACACAGAGAGCAGACCATGCGCCGAATGCCGCCAGTGCCGGCGCATCACCAACTCCCTGCACGCGGACCTGCGAGTCATTTCGCGGGGCGGCGGTGATGGTAGCGCCTCGAGGCGCACCGCCATCAGCGTGGAGCAGATTCGAGAGTTGCAGCGTGATGCCGTGCTGAAGCCTTATGAGGGTCGCTACCGCGTCTTCATCATCGAGGACGCCGAAAACTTCACGCAGGAAGCGGCCAACGCGCTGCTGAAGATGCTGGAAGAGCCGCCCGCAGATGTCATATTCGCGCTCCTTGCGTCCGAAGTCCGCGAAAACACCGAGGACGAGTCGGCAGGCTATATCACCTACACACCCGAGCATGAGCAAGACAGAATCACCGCGCTGCTGGAAGCCGTGCCGCAGGTCGGCGGCATACTGCCCACAATCCTGTCCCGCTGCCAGACACTCGAACTGCGCCCGCTCTCAGCGGCGCTTGTGCAGAGCGAAATTGATAGCCGCTTCGACTTGCCGTCTCACGACGTGACCGAAATTGCCCGATTGTCAGGCGGCAGGCTCGGCTGGGCGCTGCAAGCCGCCGCGGAGCCGCAGATGCTCGCCCGTCGAAGTGAGCGTCTGGACGAGATCGAATCTACGCTGTCAGGCGGACTTGACGACAAATTCGCGTACGCCGAAAATCAGGCGGCAGCTTTCTCTCGCAGCCGCAATGCCGTATACGAAGAATTGCAGCTCTGGCTCAACTGGTGGCGCGACGTTCTCGTCATCCGCGAGGGCAACGACGACCTCGCCGTCAACCTGTCGCGGCTTGACGCTCTGAATTCGGCGGCGTCAGAATGCACTTCCGCTCAGGTGGTCGCCGCTATCCGTGCCATTCAGGAGACAACCGCGATGCTGGAGAGCAATGTGAACCCCAGACTATGCATCGAAGGCATGATGCTGCGTATGCCGCAGATCGAATTTCGGCACTCGGAAGTGCAGCAAACAAGCCCATAAATTGGAGAAGTAAATGCCCACACTAACAGGCGTGCAAATCAAACCGTCCGACAAGGTGCAATACTTCGACGCCAACGACCTCAACCTCAGGGTAGGGGAGCGCGTCATCGTGGAAACATGGGACGGCGACCAGGAAGGCGTAGTCGTCATCGCGCCTGAGCAAGTACTCCGCTCCGACCTGCGCGGCCCCCTGAACCCTGTCCTCCGCAAGGCGGCGCCCGAATAATGCAGTCAGCCCTCTCACTAATTGCAGTGAGAGGGCTGACTTCTAATACCCGCTACTTTTCAAGACCCTGTTCTGCTAATCGTCGCTATCCGTTTCGTCGTCCTCCTCCGTCATATCGTCGAACGACATCTGTGGCTCGTCAGACTCTTCGTCGGCATCCACAAGTTCGGCTTTAGCGGATCCGTTCCTCTGCGCGTTTGCCGTGCCGTTCTTGCTCTCGGCAGCAGGCTTCGATGCCTCAGCATTACCCTTGCCGTTGGACTTGCCCGTCGCGCTCGTGCCGCTGTCAAGATCACTGACGCAGGCAATTGATGACACGGAGTCGCCGCTTGCGAGGCGCATAATGATGACCCCGCTGGCCTTCCTGCCGATAGTGGTTGAGATTTCAGATAGGTTGGTGCGCTGCACCTGCGCTTGTTCGGAAACTAGGTAGAGTTCTTTGCTGTCGTCCACAACCTCAGCTACCGCAACCGGGCCAGTCTTGCGCGGTTGAATGTCGAAGGTCAATATACCCTTGCCGCCCCTACCTTGCCGTCTGTACTTGTCGACTGCCGTAAGCTTGCCAAAGCCCTTTTTACTGATGACTAGCAGGCGGCTGTCGCTATTGTGCAAGATAATAGCCATTCCGACAACGCGGTCATCCTGACTTAGTTTCCTCTTGCCGATTTCGCTGCCCTTCTTTTGCAGGCGCATACCCAATACGCCACCTGCATTACGCTGTCTTTGTGGCGCATCCTCCACTGCAAACCGTATAGACATCCCCTGCTGCGACACCATCACCACATCGTCTTCCGCCTTCGCAAGGCACGTGCCCACCAGTTCGTCGGCAGGGCCCGCCGTTCATGTTCATGATAATCAGACCCGATGGGCGGATATTGCCGATGCTGCTCAATGCGATGCGCTTGATCTTGCCGTTGCGCGTGCCCAGCATCAGGAAAGTGTCGTCATGATCCAGGCTGTCCACCGCCACCACTGCGCTTACCGTCTCGTTCGCGCCTAGCTGAACCACATTCACCACAGGCACGCCCCGCGTGTTGCGCGAAGTGTCCGGTCGCAACTCGAAGACTGTTAGCTTGTGAACCCGCCCTCGGTTCGTGAAGAAAAGCAACGTGTCGTGCGTGTCCGCGACCAGAAGGTGCTTTACAGGGTCGTCCTCTCGCGTGGTCATGCTCACCACGCCCTTGCCGCCTCGATGCTGATTGCGGTATGTGTTCGCCGGAATGCGCTTGATGTATCCTCCCTGGCTCAGCGTAACCACCACCTGCTCATGCGCCTCAAGCTCGGCGCGGCTGATGTCGTGCGCGTCCAGGCTGATGTCCGTCCTTCGGTCCTCGCCAAACTTCTTCCTCAGCGCACGCGTCTCCTTCTTTATCTCGAGCATTATCTTATTCTCATCGCCGAGAAGCTCTTCCAGACCCTGTATCGTCGTCTGAATCTGCGCGTACTCCTCTTCAAGGCGCTCCCGCTCAAGTGTCGAGATGCGGCGAAGCTGCATGTCCAGTATCGCCTGCGACTGTGGTTCGTCCAGGCTGAACCGCGTCATAAGTGCATCCCGTGCAGAAGGCGTATCCGCGGCCCCGCGTATAATCGCAATCACTTCGTCAAGGTTGCTGACCGCAATTCGCAGACCGGCAAGGATGTGCGCCCGTTGTCTCGCCTTCTCAAGCTGGAACTCAGCACGCCGCCGCACGACCTCGCGCCGGAAGTCTATGAAGGATAGCAGAGCGACCTTCAGCGTTATCGTGCGAGGCATGCCTTCGACCAGCGCGAGCATGTTAGCCGAGAACGAGTTTTGCATCGGTGTCAGCTTGTACAGGTTGTTCAGCACAACCATAGGCTGAGTGCCTGTGCGAAGCTCAATGACCACGCGCATCCCCTCGCGGTCCGACTCGTCCCGCACCTCTGATATGCCTTGAAGCCGCTTGTCCTTCGTCAGGTTTGCGATCTTCTCCACCAGCGCAGCCTTGTTCACCTGGTAAGGCAATTCCGACACGATAATCTGCATGCGGTTGGAACGGCTCATCGGCTCGATTTCAGCCTTGGCGCGCACGATGATTTGCCCGCGCCCCGTCGAATACGCATTGCGAATGCCTTCACGCCCCATAATTGTCCCGCCTGTCGGGAAGTCCGGACCCTGCACATGCTTCAGCAGGTCTTCCACCGTCGCATCCGGGTGATCGACGAGATGAACGACGGCATTGCAAATCTCGGTCGGATTGTGCGGCGGTATGTTCGTCGCCATGCCTACCGCAATGCCGGACGCGCCGTTGATCATCAGGTTCGGCAGACGCGCGGGAAGCACCACAGGCTCGCGCAGCGTGCCGTCGAAGTTGTCGATGTGGTCAACGGTGTTCTCGTCGATATTTACAAGCATCTCTTCGGCAACCGCCTGCATACGCGCCTCCGTATAGCGCATCGCCGCGGGCGGGTCGTTGTCCACGCTTCCGAAGTTCCCCTGTCCGTCAACAAGCGGCAGGCGCATCGTGAAGTCTTGCGCCATTCGCACCATCGCCTCGTACACCGAGTCGTTGTTATGCGGATGATACTTGCCCAGCACCTCACCCACGAGCCGCGCGCTCTTCTTGTACCCCTGCCCGGGCCGCATGCCCAGTTCCTCCATTGCGTAGAGGATGCGCCGCTGTACGGGCTTCAAGCCGTCGCGCACATCGGGCAGCGCCCGCGACACGATTACGCTCATCGCATAGTCGAGGTACGAAGTACGCATCTCTTCTTCGATATGCGTTGGCTTGATGAAGCCATAATCAGTCTTATAGGTCGTCATCAAAACTCTCCTGTCTTTCGCGGCAGCGCCTCTTTAGGCGACAGTGATTCTTCTAACGGCAGCGCTCGCTTCGGGATGTCAGAATTACAGCATTACGACCGCATCAAGTCGGTCCGGAAGCAGCGATTATTGAAGTAGCCAGGCGGCATGGTATTGCGGCCCATGCCCAACCTAACCCCAACCTAATCTTAATAGCATAATTGAACTTATTATAACATGGGATTGAAGGTTCTAATGTGAGAACTTGGCCGCATCCATGCGCTCCGCAGCGCGTTCGAGAAGCGACTGAAACAGGCGGTCGAAGTGCGGAGGAACTTCCATGCGACGCTCAGGTCGGAACTGCACCCCGATGATCCACCTATGCCGCGAGCTTTCCAGCGCCTCTATTACGCCGTCCTCCAGCGAATACGCCGACGCCAGCAGCCAAGACGATTTCTGCGCTTCCCGAATCCCATTGCTGTGACGGCTGTTCACGCGCACGAACCCGCCCGATCCGACCACTGCCGCCAATCTGCTACCCGGCGCGATGTAGATGTGGTGATAAGCCGAAGCCACTCCGCCATCCTCGCCAACATCCGCATGCTCTGCGATCCGAATCGAAGCCTTGCCCCCGAACGCAATGTTGAGCAACTGCATGCCCTCACCAATCGCATAGATGGGCAGATCGTCATCGATCGCCGCGCACACAAGCACAACAGCCGCATCGCCCGCGCCAGCATCATCACAGCAAACGAGCGCGTCAATGAGCCGCAACGAGACATCAGGCGCCGTTCCGTCAGACGCATCTATCCGCAGTGCCCGCCCGCCAAGCCGTTCTACGGAAGCGGCGCATACCCGCGCATTCTCATCTGACAATGCCACTATGCCGATTAGGGGCCCAATTGAGGGCCCGATTGAAGGTATATGCGTTGCCAAAAGTGCCTTACTTCAGAAAGCGCCGAAAGCGATTCTTCATCCTGTTGACGGTGCCCCACCTGATACTTCTTCGGATATTGTTTCTCACCTTGTTCGCGCTCTGCCTGACCCCTCCCTGCGTCTGCCTCCACTCCTCATACCGCACGCGCTTCTCCTGCTCATGCTCCGTGTGCATTTCCTGCATGAGCACGAGACGGTCGTACTGAGCGCGTCTGTCCGGCGCAGACAGAATCTGATTCGCCTCGTTTATCTCTTTGAAACGCGCATCCGCATCGGGGTCCCTGTTCACATCCGGATGGTACGCTTTCGCCAGCCTGCGATACGCTCTCTTGATGTCATCTTGGCTGGCATTTGGAACCACACCGAGAACATCATAGTAACTTCGCTCCCCATCGGACATATCCAATCCGCTGCCCCTTACCCGTGGAACTTCGGCTGCCGCCGCTCGCGAAACGCTGTCAGAGCCTCTTTATGCGCGTCCGTAAACCGCGACTCTCTCAGCGTCTCCGACTCCCGTCGCAGCACCAGCGACAGGTCCTTCTCCATGTAATTCTCGTGGATAAGCCGCTTCACCTTCGCCAGATGCCAGTCAGGATTGTCCGCAATCTCCTGCGCCAGCGCCACCGCATCGTCCAGCAAAGTCTCAGCAGGACAGACATGGTTCACGAAGCCCGCATCCTTCGCCTCCTGCGCCGTGATGAACTTGCCTGTCAGCATATATTCCAGCGCGCGCCCCAGCCCGACCAGATTCACGAGAAAGTGCGTGCTGCCGTACTCTGGCGTAACCCCGATTCGCAGGAAGCGGAAGGATATGCGCGCGTCATCGGCGGCGAGCCGCACATCACAGGATAAGGGCAGCGTGATTCCCATTCCGACGGCGATGCCGTTGAGCGCGCAGACGATGGGCTTGGACTCGCGGGCGAGGTCAACCCAGCTGATGTCGGACGCTCTCGCCGGCGCTTGCTGCGCCCCTCCGCCACGCACAAAAGTCCTCGAAGCCGCCCACATCCGCGCCCCGCAGAAACGCCCGCCCCGCGCCCGTGAGCACCATCGCCCCAATCCCATCGTCAGCATTCCACGCTCTTACCTGAGCCTGAATCTCCGACTGCATCACCCCCGTAAACGCATTCAGCCTCTCCGGCCGGTTCAGCGTAATAATCCCAACACGCCCCCGCGTTTCAGTCAATATCTGCTCGTGCGCCATGCCAAAGCCCCTCCGAAAATCCAACCAGAACACCCCCTATGATAACATAGCGGTCAGCTTCCCAATGAAGCCTGACGATGATCGATTTAAGGACTCCACATGAAAATCACCGACGTCAAAGCCGTCTATCCCAAGTACCAGCACCTAGCCCCATCCTGGCGCACGCACTTCTGGCAAATCGTAGTGCGCGTGGATACGGACGCAGGCGTGACGGGCTACGGCTATGGCGGCGGTGGCGTTGCGGGAGTCGCCGTCGTCAACGGCCACCTGCGCGACCACCTTATCGGACGCGAAATTGAGAGCGTCGCCGACATCCAGGCGACTTACGACATGCTGTACATGGAGTCGCTCCCCTACGGTCGCAAAGGTCTTGGCGTCATGGCGCTCTCCGGCATAGACCTAGCCCTCTACGACCTGCTCGGCAAGGCGCGCGACCTGCCAGTCTGCGCTCTGCTGACCGACACCCCCAAAAAGGGCATACGCGCCTACGCCACCGGCGAGGATGCCCAGCAATACCGCGACCTCGGATACACCGCCAACAAGTTCGGCCATCGCTGGACAGGCAGCGATGCCGACTACGACACCGCAGTTCGGTCAGCTTCCCACGTGCGCGAAGTCTTCGGCGAAGACGCGCTCGTCATGGTGGACGTGTACATGTCCTGGAACTCCGAAGTCACGCTCGAAATGGCAGGGCGTCTTGCGGACTACAACCTCTACTGGTTCGAGGACGTCCTCACGCCCGATGACCTATACGGGCAGGCCGCGCTCATAGAAGATGTAAAGCCCACCCTCATAGCAGGCGGCGAGCACGAGTTCACGCATCACGGCTTCGATGCAATCGCCCGGGCTGGCGCAATGGACCTGTGGCAGCCTGACATCACATGGTGCGGTGGCATCACCGAAGGCATGCGGATAGTAGAGATAGCCGAGCAGTATGGAATACCCGTTGCACCCACACAGAGGCGGCGAAGTCTGGGGCTTGCACTTGATCGCCGGCTCCGCCTGCGCCGACCTCGCCGAGTACCACTCAGACCACATCCGAGACGAGCGCGACATCCTTTGGCTCGACGAACCCGCCCCCGTTGACGGCTACATCTCGCCATCTGACAGACCCGGCTTCGGCGTCACCCTGAACGAAGCAATGCTCTAACCAGAAGCGGGCGTCTCGCAAGAGAGGTACGGTTACAGCAATCTTAGTAGAATAGTTACACCAATGCCGAGTATGGTAACGCCTACTCCCAATATGGCTATCAACAGTCCAAACATGACATTAAACCGGAAGTTCATGTCAGACCGAAGGTCGTCGAAACGTGCGTTCATGTCAGAACGCATACTATCAAGACGTCCTTGCATATCAGAACGCATTTCGTCGAATCGCGCATTCATGTCAGAACGCATATCGCTGAGCCGTGCGCTCATCCCCGACGTGTTCGCCTCCAACCTACTGACTCGCTCTTCCACAGCCATACCCACCTCTTGCATAATGTTTCGCTTCAATGAATTATAACACTATGCAAAAGAAATTAAAGCCCGCTAGACTCAACGCAGATCCCCATCCTTCATCAACTCCCGCATCACGCTCGTCGCAAATGAACCCTTCGGCAGCGTGAACTCCACCACATAGCCGTCCTCCGCAGGCTTGACTGTTGCATCATCCAGCCGTATTCGGCTGATCCGCCGCGCGCCCGGAATGCCTCGGAACTGTCCATACTCAAGCCCGAACTCCGACAGCACCCGCAATTCAAGCTCACCCGCATCGCCACCGCTGATCCGCGCCTTCTTGCCGAACAAAGGCAGCGCAGCGCTAATCTCCATACGGCGCACTCGCTCAGATTCCGCAGCGCCATCCTCCACTACAAACATCCCACCCGTGTCGTGCTTCTGCGCCCTGTCACCAGCAAGCACGGCACCAAACAGCCCATGCTCCATCCGAATCTTCAGTAGCCAGTTGAACAGGTGCGATTGCAGCGCCGACTGATAGAACCGCTGCATCCTGCGGTCAACCCGCATCTTCTCGCCTCTTATCAGGCGCATCCCGTCAACTATGTTCGTGTTGAAGCTACCGAACCTCTGCGGCCCGAAGTAGTTTGGCACACCGACCCCACGAAGATGCGCCAGCACATCCTCTGCAACCGTCTGCCAGTCGCTGCGTGGATTACGCACCCGCACACTGAAGCGATTGCCGCGCAGATGCCCCAACCCCAGCTTGTTGCGGTGCAGCGATGTCTCCAAGACCGTCAACCCTCCAACATCCCCCATCGACTCAAACGCAGTTGCATATTCCGCGGGCACACTTATCCACTGCCGCGCCACCGCGTACTTGTCCTTCTGCCCTGCAAATCCCACCGCTCTGCGCGGCACGCCCGCCCCCGCAAGTGCGGTCACGACATCCATCGTAGTAAGCTCGCGTTTCTCGATGAACGCGTAAGCGTGCCCCCCCGCGCCACTCGGCAGGTAGCTCGGTATCTCCTCCACCACGAAGTCGGCAATATCCTCGCGCAAATTGCCGCCGGTCCCGGGCATCTCCGCGCTCGCGGCAGGCAGGACGTCCCACGAAAAGCGCAAACGCTCATCGTCGAAGTCCATCTCCTTCTTAGAAGCAGTCGTCATGTCGTTTGCCATCACTTAACGCGGTATGTCCAAACCTGGAAATACACATCCGGCTCGCCCTTCGGCAGCCCCAGGAACTTGTCTGTAACCTCAACAAGCTCCCATTTACCTTGTGACTCCAGCAACTCCTGCCTCTCTCGAAAGCCGTTCTGCTCATAAACATCCGGGCGCAGCGTGAACGCGACCACGCCACCCGGCTTAGTGACGCGCACCAGTTCGTCAAGAGAGTGCGCGGGCGCATGTCCTAGCGTCAACACGCCTACGCCGATGACTGCATCGTAGTTGCCCGTCTCGAATCCGAGCGTCTCTCCCATCGTCATCTGATGGAAATCGCAGTAGACATTCTTGGCACGCGCCTCTTCCAGCATCCCGCGCGACATATCCATCGCCTCAATGTCCGAGTATCCCAAGCCTGTTCAACTCAACGCCTACCAGCCCCGTGCCGGCGCCAGCGTCCAGCACCTTTGCATCCTTGTTCACGAATCGAGCAAAAGTCTCCGCCGCCATGCGCGGCATCACATACCCAAAATCGCCTTCAATGTTGTTGTCGTACTCATTCGCCCATTCGTCGTACCGCTCTTCGAGTTCCCTGTTGTTCTCAGAGGAATATACCCACTGCACCCTGTCTTCGCTGCTAATAGTGCTGCCCATAATTAGATTCGCCTTTCACATCTGGCTCAATTCCTTCACGAAATATACTAACATGACGCTCAGTTCCGAATCGCTGGGATGGACATTTCGGAGCCTTCTTGTTTATACTCACGCGGGCAAAACACAAGAAACATAGATTTTACATCTATGTGGGAGGGATTGACCTTGGAGCAAGGAAACATATCGTGGATGCTTGTGTCCTCCGCGCTGGTACTGTTCATGACACCGGGGCTGGCGCTTTTCTACGCAGGACTTGCGCGCAGCAAGAACGCATCCACCACCATAATGCACAGCCTCATGAGTATGGGGATCATCGGCGTTGTCTGGGTCCTGTGGGGCTACACAATCGCCTTCGGACCCTCCGTTGGCGGCCTGTTCGGTGACTTTAGCTTCTTCGGGCTCAGCGGCGTTAGTTCTGAAGTCGGACCCGACGGCGGTATCCCACCTATGCTGTTCATGACGTTCCAGGGCATGTTCGCAATCATCGCCCCAGCCATACTCACAGGCGCATTCGCCGAGCGCATGAAGTTCAGCGCCTACGTCCTCTTTATGATTCTCTGGGTAACTCTCGTTTACGCGCCCGTAGCCCACTGGGTATGGGCTGAGGGCGGCTGGATATTCAATCTCGGCGCTCTGGACTTCGCCGGAGGAAACGTCGTCCACATCACATCCGGAGTTGGCGCCCTCGCCGCTGCACTGATAGTCGGCAGGCGTATGGGATTCGGCACCGAACCCATGGAGTCCCACAATGTCCCCATGGTCGTGCTAGGCACCGGCATGCTCTGGTTCGGTTGGTTCGGATTCAACGCAGGGATCTGCCCTCGCCGCAGACAGCACCGCGATCAACGCCTTTGTCGTCACGAACACGGCAGCGGCGGCCGGCGCTATCGGCTGGACGACATTCACGCGGATAAAGGACGGCAAGCCCTCGGTCATCGGCGCTGCGTCCGGCGCGGTCGCAGGACTTGTAGCGATAACGCCGGCAGCAGGCTTCGTAGGCCCAATGCCAGCAATCATCATCGGACTCGTTGGCGGCGTCCTCTGTGCGCAGTTGCCGCCCGCTTCCTGGTCAAACTGAAGCTGGACGACGCGCTGTCCGTGTGGGGCGTTCACGGCATCGGAGGCACCTGGGGCGGCATCGCCACAGGACTGTTCGTCGGCATAGGCTTTGGTTCGCTCGATGTCCCGCGTATTCAGCAAATTGGCATCCAGCTGATCTCCATCGTTGCAACATGGGGATGGGCATTCGCGGTAACGGCAATTATCCTGCTCGCGCTCAAGTACACCATCGGCTTGCGCGTCCCCGAAGACAGCGAAGCGATCGGTCTTGACATCGCAGAGCACGAAGAACCTGCGTATAGGTTCTAGTAGTACGAACTCGGCGTCCGCTCTATTGGCGTCTGCTCTATTATTATCAAAAATTCACTCCCTTCCCTTTCTAACGGGAAGGGCTAGAATGAGGGTACTCAATCCCTCGTAGTTGATCCTTGCCCTTTTGGCATGGGGAGGTGAGCCATGAAGAAAATAGAAGCAATTATCAGACCGGAGAAACTCACCATAGTGAAGTTTATGCTTGGCGAGGCAGGCTTTTACGGACTGAATGCTACTCACGTAACGGGACGCGGTGGACAGCGTGGCATTGTCCATACTGGACGCGCCGGGCAGACAATTACCGTGGACATGCTGCCCAAGATGAAGCTGGAATTAGTAGTCAAGGATTCGGACGTGGACACGGTTGTTGACATAATCGTCGAATCCGCGCGCACCGGCGAAATCGGCGACGGCAAAATATTCATCCACCCGATAGAGGACACCATTCGGGTCCGCACAGGCGAGCGCGGCGACGCAGCCGTCTAATCGCTTCACAAAGTTCCTTCCCCCTCGATGGGGGAAGGTTAGGATGGGGGTGAAAATCTTTATCCATCCCGTCCATCAATGTTAGCCCGCCGGAGACGATGCAATGAAAATCACCGCAATCGAATGCCTCATACTCGACCGCAGCTTCCCCTTCGTTCTCGTCCATACCGACGAAGGTCTCGTAGGAATAGGGGAGTGCTTCCGACGCCAGCCTTCCGTCATTAAGGCGCTGATTGACGACCTGCTCACGCCTGCGCTCATTGGCAAAGACCCAACCGACACCGCTGTTCGTTTTGACGACATGCAGCGAGCCGCGAGTGCCTATGAGATGGGCGGCGCGGTCTGGTGCGCCATCGCGGGCTTGGATATCGCCCTCTGGGACCTCAAGGGCAAGGCGCTCGGACAGCCCATAGCCAACCTGCTCGGCGGCATGAAGCGCGACAAGATTCGCATGTACGCAAGCTCCATGCGCCGCGACTTGACCCCACTTGAAGAAGGGCAGAGGGCAGCGTCCTTCGTTGAACAGGGCTACACCGGCTACAAGCTGCACAGCGCGGTCCCCGGCGCAATAGACGATGCGAGGGACTACACCATCGCCACCGTCACAGAAGTGCGCGCCGCAGTTGGCGACGATATAGACATCCTCGTGGATGTTAACGGCGCATACTCTGTCCACCACGCCATGGAAATCGGCAAGGCGCTCGAATCGCTCGGCGTATTTCACTTCGAAGAGCCGCGCCCCCACTACGACCTCGAAGGTCTGGCTACCATCGCGGACGCGCTCGACATTCCCATCGCCGCCGGCGAGATGATTTACACCCAGTACGAGTACCGCGACCTCATCCTCAGGGGCAAGGTGGACATCATCCAGCCCGACATTGTTAAGGCGCCGGGCTTCACAGAGTTCCAGAAGATTGCCGAACTGTGCAGAGCGTTCGGCAAGCCCATCACCGTCCACAACACGCAGCCAATCCTGAGCACCGTAGCGCACCTACATTTCTGCGCTGCCTATGCCGACATAGTGCCCTACTCGCAGGAATACAACATCGAGCCAATCTCCATCAGAGACGAGATTTCCGTCCTGAAAGAGCCGCTGCAAGTCAAGGACGGCTACCTCGCAGTGCCAACCGGCCCCGGACTAGGCGTCGAACTCGACGAGGAAGCCCTGAAACAATTGGCTGCTCGCTGATTTCGGCTTGCCCTGTGACTCACAATCGCAATACGCGGATGGTTCCGTGCGCTTTCAGGCCTATTCGCTTGTGCTACAATGACCTCCATAGGCGCTGAAAGCAGCATTCGGGAGGCGCAATGACCACAACGACTACAGGCATACTTCCATACAGGCTGCAATTGGAGGAGGGCGAACGGCTGGGCGCTCTCGACGACCCCGGCCCCTTGCCTGAAGGCATGCACCAAAACCCCACTCTCTTATACGCGGCAAATGCACTCATATCCCGCTTACGCGAACTGCCCGGTGTGTTCGTGGACTTCAACACCTTCGTCTATTACGACCGCACGAACAGAAACCGCCGCGTATCACCCGACCTCTATGTGGCGCTTGGAGTGGACACGGTCGCTATCCGTGAGCGGCACGGCTACTTGATATGGGAAGTGGGCAAGGCACCCGACTTTGTGCTCGAAATTGCCTCCGAAAGCACCGCGAGGTACGACTGCATCGGAAAGCGAGACCTGTACGCTTCATTAGGCGTTGGCGAATACTGGCGCTATGATTCCACGGGCGGCGACTTTTACGGCACGCCTCTCGTCGGAGAACAGCTTGTTGGTGGTGAATATCGCCCCTTTGAAGTCCACACGACCGCTGACAGAGAAATTTGGGCGCACAGTCCTGTACTCGACATCGACATCTACTGGGGAGACGACAGGCTGCGAGTATACGATCCGGACAGCGGTTCATTCAAACTCGACGCAGAGGAACTGGAACAGCAATACAAGGAATCCGAAGAAGCGCGTGCAGCTACGCAAGCCTCGCAATGCCGCAACAGAAGCAGCTTACGAAGCTGAACGTGCCGCGAGGATGCGCGCTGAAGCTGAGATAGCGCGACTTCAGGAGCAGTTGCGCCGCCAACAATCCTAGTAGCATTTTGACGCAACGATAATTCCGTTATTCCTGCGAAAGCAGGAATCCAGATCGGGAAAGCGCTAAGTCTTACAGCGGCGGTGCCCCGAACCTGCCCCGAAAGTCAGTCGCCTGCTCGTAAGCGTATGCAATCCTCAGCATCGTCTCCTCGCTCAGCGCAGGCCCCATAATCTGCAAGCCCACCGGAAGCCCGTCCGACATACCCGCCGGAACGGATATGCCCGGTATTCCAGCGATGTTCGCTGGAATAGTCAGGATGTCGTTCAGGTACATCTGCAAGGGATCGGCCGTCTTCTCGCCTAGCTTGAACGCAACCGTCGGCGAAGTCGGCATCACCACCGCGTCAAACCGCGTGAACACCTGCTCGAACTCGCGCCGGATCAGCGTCCTCACGCGCTGCGCCTGCACGTAGTACGCGTCGTAGTACCCCGCCGACAGTGCGTAAGTCCCCAGCATTATGCGCCGCTTCACCTCTGGCCCGAAAGCCAAATTGCCGCGTCTTCTCCAGCGCGTCCCACACGCCGTCCGCATCCTGCACGGAGAAGCCGTACTTCACGCCGTCGTACCGCGCCAGGTTCGCCGACGCCTCCGATGGCGCGATGATGTAGTACACCGCCAGTGCGTGCCGCGTGCTCGGCAGCGACGTCTCCTCCACCTCGGCCCCAAGCGACCGCATCACATCGATGGCCTCGCGTACCGCGCCTTCCACGCCCGCTTCCAGCCCCTCGCCGAAGTACTCCACCGGCACCCCAATGCGAAGACCCTTCAGGTCTTCCGAGCGCCTGCGTATAGTCGGCATATCAACACTGAGCGATGTTGAGTCGTTGGGATCGTTCCCCGCGATGGCAGTTCAGAGTGATAGCGCAGTCCCGCACATCCTTTGTCAGCGGCCCAATCTGGTCGAGCGAGCTTGCGAACGCCACAAGCCCGAAGCGGCTCACTAGCCCATAAGTCGGCTTCATGCCCACGATGCCGCACAGCGATGCCGGCTGCCGTATGCTCCCGCCCGTATCCGACCCCAGCGCGAACATGCACTCGTCCGCCGCCACTGCAGCGGCAGGTCCTCCGCTGCTCCCGCCCGGCACGCGGTCCAGTGCCCACGGGTTGTGCGTGGGGTGAAATGCGGAGTTCTCGTTCGACGATCCCATCGCGAACTCGTCGAGATTCCCCTTGCCCACAAGCACCGCCCCTTGCTCATACAGCCTGTTGGTTACGGTTGCGTCATAAGGCGGCACAAAGTTCTCAAGCATGCGCGACGAGCAGGTAGTTCGAACCCCGCGCGTAATCATATTGTCCTTAAGCACCATCGGGACGCCCGTGAGCGGCTGCACATCCCCGGCAGCAATTCGCACGTCCGCCTGCTCCGCCTGCCGCATCGCAAGTTCGTCGGTCACGGTCACGAACGCCTTCACGCTGTCCTCAACCTGCGAAATCCGCTCAAGCACCGCAGTCGTCAGTTCGACCGATGTTACCTCGCCGCCATCTAGCAGCGTTCTCGCCTCATGCGCCGTTAGCCCCGCCAATTCCATCTTGCTCATATTCTCCCGTTCGTGGTGAGCATGTCGTGTCACCAAATCCTTTACCGCCCATCCCCATCCATCCATGTCAGCCCCGAGCTACTCCAGCACAGCCTTGACGCGAATCAGGTCGTCCTGACGATTAGGCGCATTCGCAAGCGCATCCTCTCGCGCAAACGACGGACGCGCCGCATCCTCACGCATCACCGACAGCAGATCGACCGAGTGTCCCGTCGGCTCCAGGTCCCCCGTATCCACACTGCTAAGAGCCTCAAACTGCTCCAGAATGTCGGAAAGCTGCCCCCGCATCTCCTCTACCTCATCGTCCTCCATCCCAATACGCGCCAGCAGCGCAATATGCCGAACCTCTTCCGTCGTAAGTCGCGTACTCTCTTCCATCGCTTGAAATCCCTTCCCTCACGTTGACCAACCTGACGCCACTCGCAAAACACACCACCCGCAAGTGTAACAAAGCCGCCAACACACCTTCAACAAATACCCAACGCACTAGGGCAGGATGAGTGAACACGTCGCCAACTCATCCTGCCCCTCCTGTGTATCGATGTCAGTTCTCTACCGGCTATACCCCGAAGCCTGCTTCGGAATGTCCCGCGCTATATGCTCCATCAGGAACGAGAAATCCCGGTACGCCGCCAGTTCCCCGATGTGCCTGTCGAGCGACCGCAGATCATCTTTCAGCATCGCAATATCGTCATGCACATCATACGGCGCGTCCGGATACGGCAGGCTGCTGTACCTGTCCGACGCCAGCGCAACCAGCGCCCCCAACTGTAGCAGCGCGCCATCCCTGTTATTCGGCGCATCACTGTACTGCGCCAGTATCTGCGCGTGCTGACGGTTCGCCTCATTGACCACCGGCGTAACCCAGCGCACTTCCACATCGCCCAGGTTCAGCACATCGCCCCGCGCCGCATAGTCCACCAGTTCCAGCTCATAGAACACCGTCGTTGCCGCGCCCGAAGGTATCTCCGCGAACTCCTTGCGCGCCTGCGTGAAGTTCTCGTCCGCCGTAATGCGATTCTCATAGCCTATGATCCGCCACGACTCCACGACCTCCGGGTTCCAGTTACCTGCGCCCGCGTCTGGTCCGCAAACGGTATCGACAGCGCAAGCCAGTTCTCGCGGCTGAATGTCGCGCGCGCCTGTCCCGTGTCGTTCAGGTAGCGGTACCAGCCGTTGCCGTGCTGCGCCAACTGCTCCAGAAGGTAGTCGTTGTAGTTCTCGATGCCCACGCCGATCGTGATGAGACGCAGCGGGTTCGCGTTGTCGTAGTCGCCCGCCGACTCCAGTATGGCGAACGGATTCGTCGCATCTACATTCGCCACGCCGTCCGACATCAGGATGACATAGTTGTGCGCCTCGGGACGCTCGCGCCGAGCCTCATGCGCCAGTCTGACGCCAAGGTCCAGACCCGCCTGCACATTAGTCGAGCCGTGCGGCTCCAGCCTGTCGATAGACCTTCTGACATCCTGCTGTCCGGCCTTTCGTGCTCCACGGTTAGTCTGTCGATTACATCTTCCGTAAAGTGGACCACCGCTATTCGGTCGTCTCCGCTCAGGCTCTTGCGAATGCTCTCCGCAGCCTCACGCGCAATATCCACCCTGTCGCCGTCCGCCATAGATCCCGACGCATCCAGCACCAGCGTAACATTCAGCGGCCTGCCGTCATCGCGCAGCTCCGGCGCTTGGAAGCCAATGCGTGCCAGCACTTTGTCGTCATCCAGCGGATGCGGGATTAAATCGGTATGCACCGCGAAACTATCATCCCTCGACGGCTGCGCGTAGTTGTAGTTGAATGCGTTAATCCACTCCTCTGAGCGCACCGAGTCAGGCTCCACATCATAGCCCGACCGCGCCCAGTTCAGTGCCAAGTGGTACGACGTGCGGTCCGTATCAAGGCTGAATGTCGAAACGCTATCCTCAGATGTATAAACGAACGGAGTCCGCTCATAGTCCTCAAAAGTCGTCGCACCGGGTTGTCCACCACGAGGACCTACCCCCGACTGTGACTGCGCGACCTGACCACCCTGACTCTGCCCCGACAACTTCTGCAATTGCGGTACTGCTGCCGGCGCAGCGGGTGCGGCAGGGGCAGCGGCGGCTTGCGCTGGCGCTGCCGTGGCGGCTTGTAGTGCCTGAGTGATCGGAGCTGCTGCCGGCTGTGCGCCCGCAGGTGCAGGTGCAGCCGGTGCGGGCTTAGACAAAGCAGCCGGCGCGGAAGTCGGAGCGGCAGCCGGCATAGCGCGCTGAGCTCGCGGCGCCACTGCAGGTGCGGGCATGGCAGGCGCAGCCGGTGCTTGCGGAGCAGCAGACGCAGGTGCCTCCGCAGCCGAGCCACCACACCCCACAACCGCCAATCCAAGCGCCAGTGCTAGAGTAATCGCCGTCAGATTCTTCAACTTATTTCTCATGTCAATCAACCTCCACTTCGCTGTCTTCACAAGTCAGAGACTTGCCGATATACCCCTACAACGATGCGCTTTCCCCTTTTGTTCCCCGATTCCACACCAATTTCCATCCAATTTTCGTAATCTTGCAATTCCCGTCCTGTCCATCCTGTCTATCCATGCCAGTCCTCCTGCTTTGACATCAACCGCCATTCCCCTCTAACATCTGCACAATCGGCACGCATTAACGTGCAGATTTCGAGAAAGCACCTATTGAACTAAGATTGACATGGAGGACAAGCAATGAAAGTCGAACAAATTGCGGAACTGCTAAACGCGCAGGACAAGCGCGTATCCGTTGCAGAAGCGGACACATGCGGACTGATGGGATACTTGCTGAGCACCGTACCCGGCAGCTCACGCTGGTTTCCCGGCGGCGTCATCGCCTACACTGGCGGGCTGAAACAGTCCGTCCTCGGCGTCTCCGACGAAATCTATGAGGGTAAGGGCAGCGTCAGCCCCGAAGTTGCGATTGCCATGGCAGCAGGCGCGCGCGACCTCACATCAACCGACTACGCCATATCCGTAACAGGCGTTGCAGGGACCCACAGGCGGGCGCCCCGGCATACCCATCGGTACCTTCTACGTTGGGCTTGCAGGCCCCGACGGTCTTGAAGTAGCCGAGCGCATCGAGACCGGCATCACGGACCGTGACGAAAACAAGCGCGCAGCGGCGCAGGCGGCATTCGACCTGCTAGGCAAGCATCTTCAGGGGTAAGTGAGTAGAAATGGAAGTGGCTCTCAGGCGGGCAGAATAGTTGCAATATCAGTCCCTTCCCCCTTGATGGGGGAAGGTTAGGATGGGGGTGTAGGAAAATTTGCCCGCTCGTGATCAGTCAACCGTGAAGCAGCGAATCATCAGGCTGAAATCACATACCCATTGTCCAGTTCCAGCAACGCGCGCATCCTGTTCACGAAAAGGAACTTCTTGCAGTCAAGCTCAATGGCCTTGAGGTGCGGAGCGATGACATCGGCAATAAGAACTTCGACGCCCTCTTGCACCAGCTTCTGATAACGAGCCGTATTGCGCTTGCCGATATAGGTGTCAACTGACACCTCCATATACCGCGCCGATCAGGTTGACACGCAGACAAGGTCCACGGCGACTCGCCCGCCCTTGTTGGCAATGTGCGCCTGCGCCCTTTCGCTTAATGTGACTCTCACAGCCTGTACCTTCACTTCCACCGTCTTCAGGAATGCATGGGGCATTCCCAGCGCGTCTCGAACGGGAGGATGATGCGATGATGATATAATCAGGCATGAACCGCGTCAAGCAGCGATGCATCCACTTCACAAAGACAAACTCGACCCGTCAAACAGATTCGGAGAACGCCTAATGGTATCCATCTCATACGACAAGTTCACCCTGCCCAACGGCTTGGATGTAATCCTGCACGAAGACCACTCACTGCCCGTCACGGCAGTCAACGTCTGGTATCACGTTGGCTCCAAGAACGAGGAGCCGGGACGCACAGGTTTCGCCCACCTCTTCGAGCATGTGATGTTCGAAGGCTCGAAGCACCACAAGAGTAGCTTCTTCGACCCGCTGCAAAAGGTCGGCGCGAACCTTAACGGCTCCACCACGCCCGACAGGACGAACTACTGGGAAAATGTGCCCTCCAACTACCTCGAACTTGCCCTCTGGCTTGAATCCGACAGGATGGGCTTCCTCCTCGACGCCCTTGACCAGAAGGCTTTCGACATCCAACGCGATGTGGTCAAGAACGAGCGTCGCCAGAGCTACGAAAACCGTCCCTACGGCATGGCGTACCTGACTCTACAGCCGACCGTATTCCCGCCGCCGCACCCCTACAACTGGCCCACGATAGGCTCTCAGGAGGACTTGGACGCCGCCGACTTGGAAGACATCAAGAACTTCTTCCGCAAGTTCTACGCACCCTCCAACGCCAGCATCGCTGTCGCGGGCGACATAGACCCCGACAACACCCGTCGCCTCATTGAGCGCTACTTCGGTGACCTGCCGCCGGGTCCCCCCATCAACCGCGTCCGCCGCATGGACTCCGAGTTAAACGGCAGCGTCTCCCTCGTGTTGCGTGACCGAGTTCAGCTTTCTAGGCTGTACTTAGTCTGGCCCACCGGCCCCGCGTTCGACGAACAAGAACCTGCCCTGGAAATTCTGGGAGCTATTCTTGGCGACGGCAAGAGCAGCAGGCTCTACCGCAGCCTCGTCTATGAACGCCAGATTGCCCGCGACGTCGGCGTCGATCACCACGGTCAGGAAATCGCAGGCGAGTTCTTCATCAGGTTACGGCAAACGCAGGCCGAGCCTCGAAGAGATAGAGGCTATTGTGCAGCAGGAACTGGACACCATACGTCAATCCGGTCCCGACGACCATGAACTGCAGCGCGCCAAGAACCGCATCGAAAGCCAGCATGTCCGCCAGCTTGAGCGTGTCGGTGGCTTCGGCGGACGCGCCGACCAGCTCAACCACTACAACACCTACACAGGCGATCCGTCCCGCATCAACACCGACTTGGACCGCTACCTGGCAGTCACGGCTGACGATGTGCGCCGCGCCGCCAACACTGCGCTCGGCGAAAATATGGTCAGGCTCACGGTGCTGCCGGAAGATCAACTCTCCGCAGCAGCCACAGCCCTTGACCGCACGGCGATGCCTGACGCCGCTCCTGAGAGTGCCTTCAGCCCGCCCGTGCCCACGCGCGCCACGCTCTCCAACGGCATGAATGTCGTGCTGCTGGAAAAGCCGGGCTTGCCCGTAGTCGCGCAGGGTCTGTTCCTTCGCGCCGGGGGTATCACCGACCCCACAGATAAACCCGGCATCTCAAGCCTGACTGCTGCGATGCTCACCGAAGGCACCGCCACGCGAACCAGCCAGCAGATTTCCGACGAGATGGAGTTCCTCGGAGCGCAGCTTCGTGCCAGCGCATCCCGCGAGTTCACCGCGATTGCCGCTGAGACGCTCACCTCCCACTGGCAGCACGCGCTCGAAATCATGGCGGATGTCGTGCAGAACGCAACCTTCCCCGCGCAGGAATTCGACCGCGTTCGCAGCGAGCGACTCACGGACCTCAGCCGCATCGCCGACAGCCCGCAGGCAATCGCCAGTCGCGCGTCACAGGCGCTGCTCTTCGGTGCGGGTACACGCTACGGACATCCAGTGTCCGGTACGGAAGCGGCAGTAAAGGGGTTCACCCGCGACGACCTCGCGGCCCATCACGCAGCGACCTATGCGCCCGAAGACGCTACCCTCATTCTGGTCGGCGACATCAGCAGAGACGAAGCTATCCGGCAGGCAGAAACTGCATTCGGCGGCTGGCAGCAAAGCCCTTCGCCCGTCGCAAGCGCAGTGGCGGACAGCGAATCTGCGGACGGCGCGACCACCATATACCTCGCCGACAAGCCCGGCGCGCCTCAGTCCGTCATCCGCGCGGGCTACCTGACGATTCCGCGCCATCATCCCGACTACCTCGCGCTCAACCTGCTCAACTACATTCTAGGTGGGCAGTTCTCAGCGCGCCTCAACATGAACCTACGCCAGGACAAAGGCTACAGCTACGGCTACATGTCCGGCATAGAATGGCTCACGCAGTCATCGGCGCTCACCGCAGGAGGCTCCGTTCAAACGGAAGTAACCAAGGAGTCCGTAGCCGAAACCATCAAGGAGTTCGAGGAAATTCGCAACTCTCGCCCCGTCTCCGATGAAGAATTCGCAGACGCCGTTGGCGGTATCCTGCGCGGCTTGCCAAGCCAGTTCGAGACGCATGGACAAGTGCTGAACCAGCTCGTGCGGCTCATCGCATTCGACCTGCCCGACGACTACCTCACCAACTACGCCGCCGAAGTATCCAAGCTCACGCTGTCAGACATTCACAGAGTCGCAGACGAGCACATCAAGAGCGCCGCCCTCAAGATCATAGTCGCCGGAGACGCCGCCACAATCGAACCCGCCCTCCGCGAACTAAACATCCCCATAGTCCCCATCGACTACGAAGGCGCGGAATTGGACTAGGGCTGCCTGCCATTCCCTTGCTCAGCTTTCATCGCTTGCCGCAGCGCATCATGCACACGCTGCCGCCAGGTATCCAAGCCGCCCGCACGGTAGTACGCCACCACATCGGGGTCTATCCAGACCGCAATGTGGTCTTCTTCGTCGCGGGTAAGCGTCTTCTTTTTCTTGACGCCTCCATTGCGTTGCCAACGTTCTACGAACTCCGGCATAACCTCGCCGGCAGGGCGCGAATACTTGAACAATTCCGCGGTCATCTCAAAATCGTCAGGGTCTTCGGCGATGGCTGCCATGATAGCTGCGTCCTCTTCAGCGGTTGGCCAGATTGTGCCGGGCTTAAGCTTGGGCATACTCTCTCATCTCCCTCGGACTTGCCTTTCGTATGCTAATGATGCGTTTCCTGTCACCGCGAATTGTGTAGATGACACGATGAAGACGACTACCGATATAGCCGGTAGCAGCATAGCGAATTTCTCCATAGCGGTCACTTTCTTCCGCATGGGCGGTTTCCCACTCAAATTCGTTGACAGCCGCGAAATCGATTCTGTGCTTGGCTACGTTAGAGAGGCGTTTCGATTCGTCCCATTCGTAATCGTTCATCAGCGTATTGACGATACGCCGCTTGTCAGCTATGTGCTAGGGCTTTGCATCATTGTCCTGTTCAGCGCGCATCGCCTGACGCAGCGTATCGTTCAACCTCTCCCGCCAGTCTTCCATCCCCCTCGCTTGGTAATACTCCACTATATCGCGGTCTATCCAGATTGCGACATTCTCATTAGGCGGAGGCCACGGCTTTTCAGCATAAATGCGATCCATCTCGGCTCTGATCGCCTCGGCGTTTGGTCCTAATACTTTCAAGGCTTCAGCCAAGCCCGTATCGATAGCGGTATCCTCGCTGAGCGTTGGGTGGGTGTCATCGTTGAGTTCACGCATATCTTCCTGCCTTACTTGCATTTGACTATACTATATCGTACACATAGTCCACGGACTGTCAACGAAAGCGTCACACCGAATACCCAAGAGGAAAATACATGCAAAAACCCTACCGCCTCCGCCTCATGGACACCTACCGCAACCTCTTCTACACTCCCATCTACACGGCTGTCTCAGGCGGCTTCCTATACGCCGAGGGCTTGGACGTGATGTTCGGCACCGTCCCCGCCGACCGCCCTCCACTGGATATGCTGCGTCAGGGCGAAGTTGACATCATCCAGACAGGCATCAGTCGCAGCCTCATGGCCCTCGACGACGGCGACGAAGACGCCCCACTCCACATCGCCGAGATCAACCAACGCGACGGCTTCTTCCTCGTCGGCAGAACGCCCACCGACAACTGGCAGTTGTCGGACCTCGAAGGCGCAACCCTCATCCCCATCGGCTTCACGCCCGTCCCGCTCACATCGCTCGCCGCCGCCCTTCGCAAGCACAGCGTTGACATCGACAGCATCACCATGCTCAAAGGCCTATCAGCCGAGGACGCCCTCACAGCATTCCGCCGAGGCGACGCCGACTACATCCACATGCCCAACCACAGGCACAGACGCTCATCGAAGACGGCGCAGGCTACCTCGCCGCATCCCTCGGCAGCGAGCACGGCTACCTCTGCTACAGCTCATTCGCCGCAACCCCCGCCTTCATCGACCAGCAGCCCGAAGTCGTCCACCGCTTCGTGCGCGGCTTCTACAAGGCGCAGCAGTGGCTCGCCGCTGCCGCCCCGGAGATCGTCGCCGAGCGCGTCAAGCCCTTCTTCCCAGGCGTCTCCGACTCAGTGTTGCAGGCCAGCATCGCCCGCTACAAGTCCCTCGAAATCTGGCCTGAAACGCCCGACATCGGCATCGACGGCTACAACGCAATGCGCCAGGTCCTCATCGACGGCGGCCTGGTACAGGCACAGCCACCATACGAGCGCCTTGTCCGCCCCCGAGTTCGCACGAGCAGGCAATGGCAGAATGAAAATCCCAGTAAAGATAGCGGACATACAAGAAATTTCGCCCACCGTGAAGTCGTTCACCCTCGCTCTCGATGGTCAACCTTTCACCTTCCTGCCCGGCCAGTGGATCGACTGCTTCATCGACATAGACGGCAAAACCGAAGTCGCCGGCTACTCCATCACATCCTCACCCACCGAAGACGGCTGGTTCTCCATCGCCGTCAAGCTCGTCGGCGACAGCGCCGTTACCGACTACCTGCACGATAGCGCCGCCGTAGGCGATAGCCTCATCGTAGAAGGCGGGCAGGGCGACTTCCACTACGCCGGCAACGACTCACACCCACTCGCCTTCATCGCAGGTGGCATCGGAATCACCCCCATCGCCAGCATCATCCGCTACATCGACAACTCTGCGCTCAAAGTCCCCGCAACCCTCGTGTACAGCGCATCTGTCCCATCCGAACTGCTCTTCCGTGAAGAATTCGAGGCAATGGTAGCCCGCAATCCCCATTTCCGCGCCCGCTTCAGCGTAACCCGCCCCCACAGCGAACCCTGGAGCGGTCGCACCGGAAGAATAGACGCCACTACCCTGCAAGACGCCGGAATAGACGCCAACACCTTCTGCTACCTATGCGGCCCCCCAGAAATGATTAGAGCTATGCTAGTCGCGCTCAAAGAAATAGGCGTCCCAGCGGAACGCCTACAATTCGAGCAATGGTGGTAGGGCAAGAAGGTAACCTAAACCTCCCACGCGCTCGGTCGTCCATGACTGATCGTCCACCATGCAGAGAACAGTCACCGAACGGCACCGTGCGATGCCTGATGCGCCGCACGAAACTTCGAAGGAAAAAAAAAAAGGGGGGAGGGGGGGGGGGGGGGGGGGGAGCGAGGGGTGGGGGGAGGGAGTGCGGGGGGGTGGGGGAGGAAGGGCGGGGGGGGGGAGGGGAGAGGAGGGGGGAGGGGGGGGGGGGGGGGGGAGGGGGGGTCAGGGGCGAGGAGGAGAGGTGGGCGGGGGGGGGGCGGGGAGGCGGGGAGGGAAGGGGGGGGGGGGGGGGGGGTAAGGGGCGCCAGGGGGCGGATGGGGGGGGGAGGTGGGACCAACAAAAACATTTAGCGGTGCAGCGGCTCTGCGCGTTCTTGTACGGGCATCGCCACTGCGACACCTCCGTCACCGTGTCCGACATCCCCCGAAATATCGCGTCCAGCCGCGACATACTCGCCCTGTAACGCGCCTTATCTACACCCTGCTCGTTTGCCATATCAGTATGAGCACCCTACGCCCTGAATTCCCCGCCCTCCTGAATTCAACACAGCGTGGACGATAAACTATTCAGCAAGAGAACGACTATTGTGACCAGTCCACTAATTAACGCAACCAGCAAACCCACCAGAAGCCTATGTAAGCCACTGACAGCCTCGTTGGTCTGCTGAATAGCCCTGTCGGTTCGTTCAAATCCCGATTCGATAGTCATGTCAAGCCTATCGAATCCTGACCGCATATTCAGACAACTCAGCTCGTCTAGCGCTTGTCGAACAGGGCTCGCTTCTCCTCACTTGCGACCGACTCGTCTTCCCGAGTGTTGCCATAGGCCTTATCGGTCGCACACATAACTATTCTGGTCGGCTTAATTATAGCCATTCTGCCTAATCGAACCGCCACATGGGTACCGACTCTACTGTCCTCGTGCCACCTCCCAGCCTCTCCCGCACCCATAAACCGCTTGGCCATATCAACGCACTCCATCGCATTCTCGCCATAGCCGTCCGCGCCCATATCGTCCGCGAACTCCAGACGCACCGGCGCCCCTCCGACCATGATGCGCACCGTATCGCGAAGCCCGTACTCTTCGAACGCCTCGATCGTCCTGCCCATATTCGGCATCGTGGTCGTCAGCAGAGCTGACATCCCCAGTATCTGCGCCTCATGCTCCATCACGGCGTCAATGAACTCGTCCGGCTTCGTATCCACGCCAAGGTCGTGAACGATGAACCCCGCGCCCCGCAGCATCATGATGCACAGGTTCTTGCCGATGTCGTGCAGGTCGCCCTTCACCGTGCCCATCACGATAGTACCTACCGGCTCGATGCCCGACGCCGACAAGATAGGCTCGAGATACACCATGCCGCCTTCATCGCGCGCGCGCTACCAGCACCTCCGGCACGAAGATGATGTTGTCGCGGAACTTGATGCCCACAATAGCCATCCCGAAATAAGACCATCGTCCAGCACATCGTTCGCCGAATACCCTCGGCGAGCGACTCATGCCGCACAGACTGTCAACCTCCAGATGCGCCCGTAATGAGTCTGTACGCAGTCGGTCGGCATCAACGGCGTCGTCCCCTCGAACAGTCCCCGTATCGGGCTTAGAGCTCGAACGGTGCTGGTAACCCACTGCAGTCTTGCTCCAGCATCGTATAGAATGGGCATCGCTCTACACCACTCAGGTAATGTTTACATTTTTCGTGTATTCAATGGATTTGATCCAGGTAGTAGCCAATCAAGCCGTCAGCTCCCGCGACACGAGATAGTTTGAAAAGTACCTTCCACTCGATGGGGGAAGTCGGATGGGGGTGAGAAATACTTTTCCAT